GCTCGGATGTTAAGACAATTATCGAATTAGGTGCTCGGCGCCGTTCAATTTGGCGTGAGTACCAACTACTTACTTGAACAACAACCAACGACTTCGTCTTCAAAGTCGTCATGTCCAGTCCTTTCCTTATCCGCTTTCGGCAACATTTAAGTTTACGAATTGTTCAACCTTTCTCTCTCATGATGTTGTCCCAGCGTACATACGATTATTTGGTATTTAACGTTTAAAACATTTTGTAAAATGGCAAAAATTCATAGAAAACAAGCCTGAGTATAATGAACTGCTTATTTGTTTTTACCTCCAAATGGTACGTTTATAGTTCTCTAAAATCATTGCATTACAAGCTAGAGTAATTACAAACTAGAGTAGAAATCCGCACAATACGGAGTTGTGCAATTAATCTATTGATTATTCAACCGAGCGGTGTATTAAACTTAGGGCACGTCACATTAATTGCACTCTGTCAGGGAATCCTCGGCTTTCCGTATAATCTCATAAATTGCACCCGAGAGTTTGATTCACAAAGCAGCCAGAAATTTAATCTCTTGTAGTTGTTGCTGTTGTTTTTTTTAAATAAAAATGGAAAATAAATTAAGGCATGGCCCCAAGAGAAGAAACAATGTTTGGATGCCAGTAAGAATTATTAATGTACGAGACCAAGGTGGCAGTGGATTTTGGCATAAGAAACAAGTTTTGTTCTGGTGGAGGAGCATCACGATTATCAACGAGTTTAGAAGAATGAGTATTAGGAATTAATAAGCGTCTTAAGTATGCATAGAAGGTCATTCAAGGGCCGTTTGTTTGTTTACACTTCTTGACCACAATGCATGCATGAGTTGATGGCAGTAAATATATACTAAATAAATCTATAAGTCAGTCAGTGCGGGTAACTGGTTCGAGGTTAAAAAGAAATAAATTTTCCTGTCCAGATTGAAGGCGCTAAGTAAAAAAGTTGTAGTTGATTTGGATTTAAATACGAGTAAACAAAGGGTCAGCAGCGGCACCCTTTGAGCCTCATTTGCCTAATGTTCTCCATCTCTCAGCAGAAGACCCTTCCTCTCTCCCTCGTGGATGGCAAATAATTATTCCTCATGTGCCGCAGACCTGGAAGGAAATTCCCTTCTTCTTTACAGCCATCGACCAACCTACCAACTTTTCGATTCCCAAGCTCATTTGTTGAGCTGCTTGTTAGTTGTGTTAGGCTTATTAATTACAGGAAGGTTTCCATTATTATGGAATTAGACTCATTTATTTGTTAGAGTTTTTTGGATGATAAAAAACCCGACTCTATTTCAAAATGTGGTACTTATTGTTCGCCGTTCGCATTAAAATTGGGACACGAAAAATGAAAAGTCTATTGCACAAGAAATTAGTTAGATTTTTAGGGGTTGGCAATTAAATATGATTGCATGCTGGTCAATAAATCGTCTCATTTTGGTCATGCTAAAGTGAAATGGAAGAGTGATAGCCATTTTTCTGCAGCTCTACGCTAACTCAACTACATATGTACAATATCTGAATATGCATTTACGCTTTATTTATTTCTCAAGTATGGAGTCTGCCATTGGCTGTCCGTCTGTCCCACATAATTTGCCCCAAGTGAAACCAAGTGAAAAAGCGTCCCTTGATACTATTAACGTACTACCCATGACATCAAGTCCTCCATTTGCATCACCTGGCACCATTTATTTTCCATGTTGTGTCAATTCACTTCCACTCTCCAAGCAAAATTCCATGTCCCAAGTCACTTTCTGGATTCCACACAATAACTCTTTCTCATCCCAGGACAACTTGTTTTGGGTTCCACTTCCGTTCTCTCCACTTTTCTACTTTTACAAAGTTGCCACTAAAATTGTTCCACTGTGTGTAGAATAGAAACGCCATGCGACAGACAATATCAGAGCAGCTATTACCGAAAGGACCAAATGTTTCCTCTGGGAGAGGATGGAGAGACAGTTCAGAATCTACTAAATTTCTTCGTCATATGCGTTAGAATTTGCGATTTATCTTGGAATCTTCTACGTACAAAGGAACATTAGTCGATGTTGTTGCCCAATTGTAATTAGAGAAGAACAAGTCTGTGATAGCCTTGCACATTATGTGTTCCATATCCATCCATCCAAGTTACTGATGATAATGTTCTCCTCCGGTTGTTAGTCGACGACACTCGCATAAAACACAACCCTTCGAGTTGGCAGGGAGTGAAGGTGGATAAAGAAGTTTGGTGCATAGGACTATAAACTGAATAGCCTGCACCCAGGACATGAAATAAATATGCCCCCATCTGAATGTCACTCGAAAGCCATTTCACTTGACAAAGTGACACTCTTGCACTAAATATGGTTATGGTTATGGCCCTTTGCATCGACGTCTCCTTTTAGTCTCCATTTTTCATACAGTTAAATAGTGATTTTGTTTCCAAGTTCTTTTACCCCATGGTTGTTTGTATCGCTGCTAATAAAAACCACTATCAACGCCTCACAGAGTTAAAGGTAACCTGGCAGTACTTTAATAATATTTGCAATATTTTCAATATTTTATGTCTTGAGCTACGTATTAAAGCTGCCGACAGCACTTGCATATTTCCACGTTAATGAAAGAGACAAAAGGATAAGTAGTGTATCGCATAAGTCAGCAACATGCAAAGGTAGACACCCCGCTGGCTCTTAATTACATCGCCTTTACATTTATTTGTTGAATGAGTAGACTTTGGTGAGCTTGGTCTCTATCTCAAATCTAGAGTGAAAGGTTCTCAATCCTATTCCAGCTGTTTAATAATTTGCTGATTACAATATTAGTCTCATTGTTTAAATAAATGTGAACTTATACTCAATCAAATGTGGACCATGTCGAGTGGCGTGGGTTTCTGCAGTATTGCACCAACCAACCAACTTATAAATCACTTGATCAAAAGAAGGTGTAGGTTATGACCAAGTTGCTAATAAAAGTTATGGTTGAAAAGAGTGGGTTCAAACATCATGAGCAGAATACACTATGCAAATTGAAGTTTCCTGGTACATGAGAACATGGTCATGGAAGTTATGAATGTGTCCTGAGAAAAACCAGGCGTTTGATTTACTCTCGTTCTTCAGTCGGAAGGCTCCACTGGAGTCCTTCCGACTTGCGTAATCACTTGTATACGAACGAACGAGTTACTAGTGCACAAGACCGCTCTCTGTTATTTCCCTTTTAATTCCCGAGTTGTTATTATTATAACAGAGTTATCGGAATCAAGAATTAAGACTGATGCTTCCGGTGTCAATGTTAATGGCCTCGTCGGTTTGATCACTTAATCAGCAGCTCTCAACAAAATTGGTTCCTTTGCAATGTGGCGGTGGTTCAATTCGTCTGTATTGATTTACCTTCTGGTAACTAGGTTTTTGCTTTCACTTGGCCTATGCATCATACTAGTTGTTGTGCACACGAGCATAAAAAGTAGAGTCATTGTTGCAGAAATGGATGCTGGGACAAAAAACGATTGCAGATTCACTTTGGCAAGAATATTCAGCTCACAACTGACATTTATCTCTCTCGTATCTCGCTTAGGACGCTTAGAGTGCGTGAATGATTCGTGTCTAGCTCATTCCATTCCATTTGCTGACAGCTTCCCTCCACATTTACCTACAGATCAAACAGGGTGGTGGTGGTGTAAAAAATGAACTGCAGACAGAAGGTGGATGGTCAGGTAACTCTTCGCTCCAGGGAACTTTATTAATTCAGTTTCACTATCTCTCTCTCTTCTCCAGTCCGTCCGACTCGACGGAGTTTGGCTTATGCCTTCTTCTCCTTATTACTGCCCACGTTTTTTACTGCTTGTGTTCATTCATTAAGCCCGTTCTTTACTTATTAGCTGGTTAAACAACTAAAAGCAGGCCCACCACTTACCAGGCAGCACGTCAAGTACATAGATATACAAACCGACTTTTAGTTAATTTTGGTACGTATGTATGATAAGTTTAACTCGTTTCTAATTCTCTCAACTACTCCTGATGAGCATAGGGCTTGTTTCACTTGACCACGGTTATGCATATTTCTCAGTTTCGACAACAGTTTCATTTTCAACTGCGAGGGGATCCACGACGATTTCTTCTCCGGTGTCATATTTCATGTGAGATGAATTTGCTGTTATTTTATGATTTTGCCCAGTTAGTCGAGAGTATGTACGAGATATGGGAGGACGTGGAGGAGGGTTGCTTGCTGGTTGTCGTGTTGGATCGCAGTTGAGACTCCCCTCGTCTATGTTTAATCAATTTGCTCGAAGCACAAGAACCATTTATCTGAATTAGTGGACAACGGAGTTTTGCTCCCTCAAAGATAATCAAGTTATTATCTATTTGCTAAATTTTTTCTAACCCTCCAGTGCAAAATTTGTCTCAATATTATTTTCTCCCCTTGTTCCTACCCTCCTAGACAAAGGATACTGGAATAAGTGTGAATAAATGAAAAAATACTTCCTTCTGTCTTCCTCTCTTGAAAAAATTGAAGCTAGAGTAATTTTTTATGGCGAAGGCTCAGATGTATGATACGAAACATAATCATAATCCAAAGTGCAACACTTCCTCGCTATTAAATTTTCAAGAAATTATATGAAAAGACGGCGATGAGAAAGTCATAGTTTGGTCATATTTTATTCAAGGGAATGTCTCTCTCTCTGCCATTCTTAATCGCTCTACGCCACCAACTAACTAACTGACTTTCCCCTAAAGCTGAAGAGCTGACCATTATTTTTACGGCTCCCTGGGATGCCACTCTAACTCTGGAGAAAGCCCTGAATTCATTTTCACTAAGTGGTGCCAGCTCAATAACTCAGCAGGTTCGATTCACTTCTTGCTGATCTTTGATGTTGTGCAGTCAGTGGTGTGCAACTTGGATGCATTTCTGATGATATGCTAGGAAAAATTATGATTATTTGCGAAAACATTCCATAAATACATGTGTACTGCAGACTAAAGTTAAAATAAAATGGTAGCAATTTTTGCAACACATCTACACAAATGGGATTTTTTTGTAACTTTTCCTCCATGCCGAGAAGCATTTATTTTGTCGGACTTTTTTTAGTGAGTTCATTTTTTAACAACAAAGCAAAATTTTAGTAGTACCGTCTTTTCCATAACTTAGACTAACTACTAGTAACCGACATTTTATTAACATGGAAATTATCAAGTATTTCAACAAGAGAAGAAGAGGGTAGTATTATTAAGTTTAGCCTCAACTACGAGTATGATGAGTATTATAAACGCATTGCTGTTCATTCTAATATTTCTGGAAATTTGCACCACTTGCTCAATGCTACGGTTAATTTAACTTTTTTAAATGGTTTCGACTACTCATTGCGCTTGATTCTTATGAGAAAACCAACTAGCCTGATTTTACGAATAAAAACTGCAGGTTAATTTACTTTATTCCTACTCGGGACTTTTTGCACGATTAAAATTGCAAATACTATATATCGATGCTGTGCAAAAGCTATGCAATGATTATTGGAATTTTTTAACAAGTATTTTTATACCTCCTCAAAAATCGTAAAGATCCAATATTCATGATAAAAATGCGAGTATTTCAACATGAAATTTTACATTAAAGCCTTTATTTTACACTCCTTGCCTAAATTTGAAATAACAGTAAAAAGATTTGGTTTATCTTTGGATACTTATTTGAATATGCTACGCTATGCTGGTACCAAGGGCTCTCGTGTCTAGTGAAAGTTGCTAACTATAACTATTTCATTATTATTATTCTTCTCCTGCTGCCCAACCCAAGAAGTCAATTAAGCTTCCATATTTCATTTCTGACTATTTCATCATATTCAAGTTCAAAACACGTGTGTAGCCTAGTTGTTATAACACTAGAATAATAAACGGTAATACAGAGCGAGAGGACAGCTAACCATAATAAAATGCTAATAATAATAAGAAGAAGGTGGAAATGGCTTTAAAGTTTTTCAAGAGACCTCGTATTTGTCAGCAACTCCCGTGTCAACCTCCACGATTGTTTTGCTGCATTTTCCAACGCACTTGGAGACTTTCCTTTGAAAAGATCCAGATTGGGGAGGAAATAGTGCGGGCATCGGCGGCACTGGAGACAAGAAATAAGTTGGAGAAAAATCCCGTTGATTCGATCTCCCAAGCAAGTCTCATCCCACTCCACTTCCCGAGGGTGCTTCTCACACTCGTAGAGTAGCAGGGACTTCATGTGATATGAAGTAACTGGATTTCCTAAGAAAGCAAGAAAGTTGAAAGATTAGAATGGGGCACGGTTAGACTCGACGTTCTTTCTCGTTTATGAAGAGAAAATTCATACCTGGCAAATCTAAGTGTCTGTCTCGCAGTGTTTTCAATAAACTGAGACACTTTTTACGACATCCTCCCTGCAAAAGTCGGTTCTCGGCCTCGGCGAAAGACAATACCCAAGCATCCCCTTCCATTGCTGATTGCTTTCCCTGAACACAATATAGAAATGGGGTTGTAGTTATCAGTTTGTGTGGGCAGGAGAAGAAGGTCTTTGAATATAATCTTCCTCTCTCCCTCTTTTAATTTCATCATCACCACTGCAGCAAAATTTTTACCTGCATTGACAAACTCTCCTTGGAGAGGAGATCAAAACCTTCAGTTTTCACTTCAGCGACCAGATTGGGGTGCGGCCAAGGAATGTGAGGCAGCGGCCTTTTTATAAATTTATTATCTTTTAGCGTCAACTCTTTCTCAATAAATTCCTTGTTTGATGTGTATTTTGTAAAAAAAAAAATTACCAGTGACTTGCAGATCTGGGCCTGCATGGCAAGTTTATGAAATAGAAAAGAAACTTATAAATTCTAAATTTTCAAATTTTCAAATTTGTACATAAATCTGTAAATGTATTTACCAAACACCCGAACATTTAAAAGCCGGGGTGATTTGCACTACAAATCTCTCCCTAATTCTCAACTTGACCTCGGTCGTGTCTGCAATCATTTTGACCGAGTCGCGGTACGAACACTTGTCACACGCCTGAGCCACCAGGGTTTGAAAACGTGAGCGAATTTTCCTCGCCGACAGATAACCACTCGCAGTTATAAACTCCACCCACAACGACATGGAGCGTTTTCTCCCATCACTTAACTTTAGAACTGCACATCCCGGCAAAGTGCCGTCATCCACGAAATTGAAAACTCCCATTTGATTCAGATAGAGCACGACTTCAAACTCTGTGGGGGAAACGACATCCATCCCCTCGTACCTCCCGTTGCATTCCGTGAGGGATGAGATGAACCGAGGCTCCTGAACTTCGACCTCTTTCAACACATCCTGCACAACGCGACACACTTCACGAATGGTTTTTGCAATCCCACCCTTCCGCGTTTGAACCCGCTCGCCGTAATACTTATTCAATTGGTAGAGCATCTTGGACTGAGCGCCCATCATATCCTGAGGTACTAACATTGTCAGGCAGGAATATTTCACTTTCACTCGCTTTCTCCGACTCAATTTCCTTCCTTCTTTCTTTAAAGACTCCTCTGCCTGCTCATTCACTAATTCACAGAAATGTAATTTTGTACAAATACTTCAACATTGCTCTCAACTAATTCCGAAAGATGACCACCCCTTTTGAAAAAAATTCACACAAATGATTGTAGCTTGCTCGGATGTGATCCTAATCGGATTGCATCAAATTGGACACCACTTAAATTTCACTTCGCCTCACCGACAAATTGCATAATTCGTGAAGTGATCTCTTAAAATAAGAAGTGCTTCTTGAAAATAATAATCCGCGGAGAGATTAGATTTGACTGGTGGTGGTGCAGTGGCGATGGTTGTGGAGCGAGTGTGGGGTCTATGAAATTCCGGTGGAGGTGATACTTGTTCTTTTGCTTCTCAGCTAGCGACGGGACCAGAGTTTGAGAATACAGCCCATTTTGAGGGGAGATGGGCGTCGCTCTTTCCTCTGCGACGCCTTTTTCTCTCCGCTAGTCGAACCCCTCGCACGCGACACGCTTCTTCTTCCCTCGTTCCTTATGTACTTACGACGGCGACTCTGGTTTCTCACACCGTCGTTCCGATCTGCTTCAAAAAATCGTGTCAATGTGTGTGTGATGCAGGTTTCTACCCAAGAACGGATTCGAGGTTTCCAATTTCAAGTATTGATTTTTACGAGATCAAATTTCAGAACACTTTCGTCCTTTTTTGAGAGAGACAATTGTTTGCTCCACTTAGAGTCCCATTATTTTGTCGCCCAGCTCATCCACTTCTCAGTTTCTCTAGGATTAGCAAGTCATGAGAATGGGGAGGGGCCTCCTGTTTTATTAATGAGTCCAATAGATATGTAGGTAATTTAATTTATAGTTCATTTACGATAAAGTTAGGCAGTTGTGAATTGTGTGATGGGGTGGTAAAAGGTATGTTAAATGACAACCCTCCAAAGTCCGAAAATTCATTTTCTAAATATCCGAAATCCCAACTTCGTCGTGACTGCACTTGATAAATATGAAACCATTCGAGGCGAAAGCAGTGTCTTTCTAGAGAGACACGGATAATGTATGGAAACGTCGTGGAAATGTCTGAAATGTCGTTCCGTAAAAGAACAGGAAATGCAATGCAGTGGGATTGATTCTGTTCCGAGGAGTTGCGTCGTTCTGCTGAACAAGTCTTCTTCTTGGTGGTTAGGAATTTTATTTCCCTTCGAGTTTCCTTCTTCTGGTATCAAGACGAAGGTTTCCTTTTGCTATGGTTTCAAGTCTGCCCCCTTCTCGTAAAACCAGTGACAAATGTGTGAACTCTAGTGGAAGTGACGGGTTTCGGGAACTTGTGAAATGTTCTGACCCGGGATCTTGTTTCCATGGTAACCGTGTCTTCCTTTCTTCCTTCCCACCCTTCGTTTCCGGAAGGATAAGAACTTTCTCCGAAACAAAAATGCAGGATAGTCAAGTCAGCCTCGTGTATGGCATCGCTGTCTCTTTATCTCTCTCGATTTTTCTTACTCTGGAATATGGATTATCGGATCATGGCGGATTCTACCTTGTTGGAATTGTTTTTTTTTCTAACTCCGTAAAAAAATGACGATGATGTAGTTTCAGCATTGCTCTGATTTGCTTCTTTAACGCTCACCGCATAAATGCTTTTGTGTGGTGCTATTTAACAGACTACATGCATACATCAGTTATTGGCCTGTTTAAAAAATGGAGATTTTTACCAGAGGTTGTAAAAATTTACAAGGAGGAGCCCGAGCCCTGAGAATGCATACGTACATATGCACATAGGCGCTCGTACTCATGTTTGTTTGTTCATCGCAGGTAAATGAAACTTTATTCGTGCGCTGAAAAGGGTTAGCCAATTAGACATCCCATTTGCTCGTAAGATTTTGTGCTCCGTACCCCATTGTTTATTTTCAAAGGTTTTTACGAGGCAGTGTGTGCTACATGTTCCGTAATGTAATTTCTCGCAATAAAGGCAAGGAGTGTAAAATGAAGTACATATTTCACTGATTTTATCTATTCATTAGCCCTGCCGCTCACATTATTATGCAGTCGGTACTCTTTTGATCAAACTGAGATCACGACCAAGTCCAAGCAAACATTTCAAACAACAACCCGAGGTGATTGTGCATCGCCCAATTCTCCCTCGAGTTATGATTATTATAAAGCTTTGGAAATTAAGCCACAAAGGGGAGGAAATATCTTTTTGGTACGTTTTAATGAAGCCCAGGAGTTGTATATTTATTTGTACGCCCAGAAATTGTAGACTGGGTCCTTCACCCAGGAATATTGCCAGCATTTAATATTTAATATAATATGCGACTAACATATTCGATTAGTATTCGTACTTGTGTATGTATGCATAATGGTGGCAGGAGTAATATGGCTGTGGTTGTTCTACCTCTTTCTTCATAGCTGGAATGTCCAAGTGACAAATAACATGATGTTTTTCAGCCACCCAGGTGAAAAAATTTGGCTCTGGTAAAGAAACAAGAGCTGGAAAGTATCACTGTCTCGTAAATTGGGGAAATTAACTCATCGTAACTCATCATCACCAAAATCCTAATGGGTTAATGATGTTGAAAACGGATCCAAGAATTTGTGGAATGTGTTCGGAATCCGAGCATTTATTTCTACCAGCTTAAAGCTGACAGTGGGGTTGAGACTCGCTGCACGGGATAGATCCGAATTAGGATGAGATGAAGTTATGGAGATTGAAGCTACGTTATGCGTAGTTATGAAACTAAAATTTAGAAATTTGTGATAATTTTTATAATTCAATGGCCACTCCTGCTCGCTTTGGTACATATGTAGAAATAAAATTGTATGAACATCCTCTCCATCCATGATTAGTTCAGTAGCTGAGTGTCACAGTTAATCCTAGTGCGCCCACAGTGCCGCTCACAATTGACAATGGTAACAAAAAAGGCAACAATGAAGGTCTTGTGGGTGCATTGTGCACTTATGAGAAGGGGAGATGAAAATGATCCTGATTATGAGGGCGATAATGGTCTGAAGGCGGGTCAACAATGGGGCTTGCCTCATTTACAATTGTATTCGTCCTGTTTTACAACTTTAAAATGCTTTTCCTATTTTTGGAAAGAGAGACAACTCATATTTGATTTAAAGCCACACACACTGAAATATCTGTAGGGTGGTGTAATCACGATCTACAATCTATCTCCTGAACCCAAGTCGCCAAGAACGGGTTTACCGGATGAATAAGGAATTTCTAAAACATGGCTGAATAATAATATAGGGCATATTACGACTCGTATCTCTGATTGTCAACGTTTCTCATCTTTCTTCAATTCCCAAGAATACAAAATCCGCTGTATATTTCCTTCTCTTTAGAGTCAGCGAGAGGACGCAATAAGCAAATGAATGTGAAAAACTCTTATCCCGTCAAGTAGAGAGAGAATCCAGAGGTTAAGTTAAGTCCAGAACCAGTTTTGTCTAGTCCTTGATGTTGATGTTATCACCAGAAAGACATCCAGTGTCCCTTGATTGCATCTTTTGACATCTCTGGTCTCCCATTAGAATTTGTTAGCTGCTTGAGACGGGAGACTTGGATTCTTTCCACCTCGTAATTTATGGCCCAACAACGTCATCCCTTTCCCCAAAGTCTCTAATTCTTAGGGCTTAAATGGAATGAAGAAAGTGACGAATGTGACGGAAAGCTGAATTGGTAACAAATCACAAGTGAGCAAATAAGTACGCTCACTGGTCCACCAATACTCAAAAAGTTAAAATTTACTCATCAGTTCTACATATATCGTGTACTAGCAAATGCAAACAATAAAAACCTTAAAAATGTGTGTAAGTATATGCACATGAATAGTTTTCATCGTCGTCGACGGAGAAAGACTGGTCACATTATTCGTAGATTGTGATGCGACTGTAACTCAGATAATAATGACGGCAAGGTTTTATTGACAAGTCGACGTAGATGGGATACCCCCACGGGAGCATCAAGACAGGAGACAAAATCTGATTATCAGCAACTGCTAACCCAAACTCTTCCACTCATTCGTACGTTCGTACATCGACACGGCGAAGGCTGGCTTTTTTCAATCTGATAATAAGAAAAATATGAATCTGATAATGAATGGTTATGGTACGAGTGTCGTGAATTGATGGAAACTTTAATGCTATGCGTACACAAAAAATATGTATAATTTCATACGATCGGGTTTTACGTTTGTGCTTCTTTCCACATGTGTAAAAGATTTGCGGTGAAATGAATTAATATACTTTTAGAATTAGAGCTAGCTACGTCGAATTATTTAATTTGATCATGTAAATATTCTAATATATTTAATACATACGTATAAATATGCACGTTAGTGCGATTAGTATGCACACCTTATTAGTTGATTGGGACCTTTGGTCTAGGACCTACCCACGTATTATCACAATAACCTCATCTGCCAAGTTTTGAGTAATGTTCAAACATGTTGCTGTAGATTTTTAATATTCTGAAAGAGTTTTATCCATTATCATCTTGGCGAGTGTCCCTTGGAGTTGGTCGGTCTGAGAATATAAATAAAGGGCAAAGGGAGCCAAAGGGTTGGTCAGAAGCTGCCACCCTTAGCCTTGCTCAGTGGTGGGCATCATCCTTCCTCCTCATCTCTTGCCGAATTCTCAATTCCCATTTTTTATATTGCATAAGCAATTACGCTTCAGAACACATACATCCTTCTCGACTTGCTTATTTCCCCCAAAGATTCTAGACAATGGCATCTTCATTTTTTGCGAAACAACGAGTAAAAACCAGGGCTTAACTTTATTATGAATGTCATTTATGAGTGGAAATATGAGTATGAGCACTTATGTGTGAGTATGCGTAGAAGATCTTCTCAACCAACTATTTATTAGTTCTCTGTTGCTGACCAAGGCACGAAGAGATGAAGCCGAAAGGGCGTATTGCATATTAGTACTAAAGTAAACAATCATAAACCGAGTTAGATAATTTGTAGACGAAACTTACTTACTGTTGGTCGGCTTAAGAAGAGGGTGTAAAACTCAAGTATTTATTAGCACCGAATATTATACATGTGAAGTGTATGATGACTTCCAACCGGCGACAGCAAATTATTATTGAGAAGTAGATGCAGAGAAAATGGAAAAAAGTACATGTACATATTTAGAACCAGGCAGGCAGCATCGGCCACTTAATAATTAAGTTCATCTCTTTTCATGTGCCCAGAACTCTGAACCCTTTTCTTCTTTCTGCCCAGTAAATCATCGTCGCACAAACAAGCAATTTCAACATTGAATTACAAGTTGAGCCGACTCTGCCAATTTGAAAGTGCATCTCTGTCAAACACTTTTTTGACGGTGTGGTATTTACAATCGGGTGAGTGAGTGGGGTGTCGAGATAAGTGGGTATCTTTACAACGCAATGTTTGCACTTTGTCTCAAAGAAACTAATCCGCTATCAGAATGCTTAATGTTTCTCGGCATCTTTTGACTACACAGTGTTTTAATAATCTAATCTAATTTCTTTAGCTTGGACACACAACGGGGGGAAGATTTAATTTTACGTGGTGTTGGTGGGATGGAATACGGTCCAAGTGGTAGTTATGCCATAATTGGGTTATTTGTCATTAAGGATGTATTACTTGGAATAACTTGTTCACGGAACTGGAACTGTGCTGCTGGTTATCCCAACGACTGAATCGGTCTGTCGGTCATATATGTGCGAGGGGCGGTTGTTGGTGGGTGCGTATACAGAACATTGTGCGAGAATAAGTAATTCCATTTGTTTCCAAACATCACTTAGAGAGGAAGGATCCCTTCCAACACAGAATGCTATGCTGTTACGATTGGTGTGAGTGGATAACTCGATGAGGAACAGTTAAATCTAATTTAGACGCTAATGTTCCCTTCACTCTTGCCACATTGCTTCCCATCTTGTATTTAGATGCAAATTAAATGAGTAACGTTGTTGCCAAAATAATATGCATTGTGCTGGGAACTTATTTAGAGAAATTGTTCGAAATTCCAGTTGAATCAGATTTTACTAGATTTTTGGATTATCTGTATCTGAGAAACATGAAAAATTGCGTTTCTCTTTGAGACAATTAGGTCCATTTTTTAGTATAACATTGACTGCTCATTTGTTACGTTCAACTCGCTGGTTTGTATGAATTGTAATCCTGGTGAAGTAAGCGAATTGAAGTGAAGGATCTGAGCATGGTCGTCGTCGTCGTCGTGGAGGAGGCTTTACTAACCAAATCCACTTCCCTTTTGATTCATATTCATGGACCAAGTGAAGCAAAACAGAGATGAACTGCTGCTGCTGCTGGTTGTTGGTGGTTTGGTTGTTCTTCTTGTTCTTCTTGTGTCGGTCTGGTTTTGTTGGTACGGATCGCCTTCCCCCCTTCGCTCGCTCCTTCCCTTCTTCGCCCTTTTATACAATACATTACGTTACATTAGTCATTGGTTCGTTCGCCTGGTTTGTTATGTCTTTTTGATCCGTTTTAATTCGACATGTTATTTGGAGCAATGTGCACCAGTCGAGGGTTGGCTTAGGATTACTCGAGAGACAATCATCAGAGGCACTCATGTCGAAAATCAGAACGTCGTTGGTCACCCGTAATTTTGAATTCATTACACACATTTTATCTCGGTCGGTTGGAGGAATCAAAATTTTGTTCTTCTTCCTCCTCTCCTCCTGACTGACGACTTTATCCAGTTTTATTATTAGCTCCTAAAAGACTCCCATCCACATAAACTCCCCGGAAGAATGGGGATTAAATTTCTGCAAATATTTATTTTTTACTACTCCACGAAAGGAATAAGGCTCTCTCAAAAATGAGGTACAGGTTGGGTTAAGCTCTGACTAAGCCTTTATGATGAGGGAGCTTTGTGCGTGTGTGAAAAGCGAGGTGGTGGATGAATCGGCATGATTTTTGTTTTCCTATTATTATTACTACTACTTCTACTCGCACCGAGAAAATGAAGATGATTTCACCCTCTAGTTCTCTCTCAGTTGATGAGGTTGTGATTTCTCCTGGGACACCCAAATTACAATCTCTCCACTGCTAACTGCTCTAGAAATGGAGGACGTTGTGTTCGACACTTATTGAGCGACCCATCACCCAAATACTCGTATATTTAAGGGAACGAGCTTATGTGTTCAATTTGAGGGAGGGAAAAATGGCACAACTAGAAATAGAGCCACTCAACCGGAAGTGAGTGCTGCATTAATCTAATGTAGTTTCGACTCCCTCACCACATACGTACTAGGACATACTCGCTGCGACACTTCTTTCGGAATGAATTGGAAATGTATTCCCATTTTTTATATACTTTTACACTAAAAATCGTGTCCAAATCTCACTTTACACGTTTCCATGAGTTATTCATCCCTTCTTTCAGCTTCTCGTGAAATTATCACAAGAAGGAAGAGTCTCAAAGTTTTGTCTTGCTCATGCGTTTCAGGGAAAGTTTTGTCGGTGGTGGTTGAAGGAAGGAAGGAAGTGGTTGATACTGCTTAAACAGATTCACGGGAGGTGGGTGGGTGGTTGGGAAGAGAAAATATCTCTTCAGCCTTGTTCAGCTATGCTCCATAAAATTGACAATGTTCAACGCAACCGCGGATTGAGATAACTACTACCTGCCTGCCTGGCTGCGTACTCTCTCTCTTTCGCCCTCGTTTGATGATCCTTTATCACGGAAGGGAGGTTAATTTAATGTTCCCTTCTCCAATCTGGAGTGATTAATGAACTTTTCAAATGACACTTTGTAGTAGATTTCATTTCACCTCAACCTGGTGAATTGTAACAGAAATTTAATTTTCTCATTGCATACAGAAACACATGCACGGTTACATGAAACCTGCCTGAAACAAACTGCGAAAACAATTGCAGTTGGCTCTCAACCAGACGAACTGAAAAGAGCAAATCAATTCTGCAGGGTGTAAAAAGTAGGATGAAAGTCGTTCTCGGCGTACTTATCGATTTTTAACCATAAGGCGCCGCATCCTACAATTTTCATGCTTCTTTCTTCTTGGTAGCACAAAGCGCAGAAATAGAGACGGAGAGAGAGAGAGAGAGCATGACGTTGGAGAGAGTGGGGCTGAGATCAAATGGATGGTGTTGAATTGCTCGGGCTCACTAATGGATCAGGGATCTTGTAATCTGATTTTGACCCTCTGGCACCAACAACAACGAAATGAAACAGAGCATCAACAGTCAACAGCTACAAATTCAATTCAGGATATGACAACAATGCAGATTGCTCTTGGTGGGTTCAGAACAAATGCATTTTCCCGAAACCCGTGGAGTGAAGAGCGGTTTACCGGGTGTACAAAGTGCGAAACTTGTGTGTTTCTATGTATTACTAGTTCGATCAATACTTTGATATGCATTTTTTCTTGAAGAGAAACCCATTCGGTACTCAAGTTGGAAAATATTGAGTACAATCAGTCACCCAGGTTTTTTTGTTCGAGTTTTTATACATGCGTCGGTTTGAAAAATTTGCTGCCAAATGCTTACGCAATTCATAAATTAATAATGATTTCGATGAATATTGTATAAATTTGCTAATGTTTCTTTTTTCTGTCTTCTGCAGGTTTTGAAGTATTGCGACCATCTTCACGGAAAGTGGTACTTTAGTGAAATCCGAGCCATTTTCTCGAGACACTACCTTCTCCAAAATGTAGCAATTGAGATCTTTCTCGCCAGCCGAAGTAAGTAACGTTCCACTCTTTTCCTACATAATTTTGTATTGTCACAAACCTCGTCCTAAAAATTATGCATTGTCGAAAATCTTGTTTTGCATTCTTAAATCGTTTCGTCGTTAATGTTTTATGAATAGTTTGACCAGAGAGAGGTTAAGCTACTACTGCTAATCACGTTAATGCTACTTGTTGACCTGTACACCCCTGTGGTTGGCATTTAAATAATTGCCTGTTGTGGTTAAAGTTCTAAAACTCTGAATTTTTCATCACTACTTCGTTTGATAGAGTTCATGTGTAGTGTCCGTTGGTTGGTTGGTTAGTTGATTGCATTGAGTGAAATTTTATGTGGGTTTGAGCCATTAAAATGGTGAATTGAAACATAGAGGGGCACAATCAGTAAAATCAAACTGACATCTCATCTTTCTCCATTTATCTGATCGATCATGAACATTTATCAGCACCTTTCCTCCAACCTACCCTTATTAGACTCAGGCTTCCACCATGAGCTTACATGCATAAGTGAACCGAGTAAATTTTTACTGCTCTCCAACCGCACTATATCATGTCATGTGGGATCAACTTGACATCTGCTTATTACCAATACATACTCGGAGGATACTCAATCGTGGATCAGTCGCACTGTTATTTTAAGATGTTTCTTCATCCTCCTTCGAGGCAGCGTACAGGACTTTGTTTTATATAACCAACATATCAACATCTTGCCAGCATATACATACATGGACGATGCATATGTACCCACATATATACACCAAAGTACTATGTATGTATCAATATTTAGGTTGGAGGAACAAGGGAAACTGGATTATTTTGTGCTGCTCAAGCGACGACAACGAGTTACGAGGAGTATCTAGAAGTAGAGGCAAAAAGACACTTTTTATGAGCCATTTGGGCGTTCAGGTTCTTGACAAATGTGCCCACTTAACATCAATGGTGGCTTCATAAACTGTGTTAAAAAACCTGGTGCAGCCTTACTGTCATTCCAATATTGTTTTAACAATTAGTGGCCGCTTTGCCCAAAGTGTTCATCTTTACTCCTCGGCCAAGAATTTTTAACACTGTCACAGACAAATGTTTCTCCTTTCCTTGATCACTCCCGAACCAAACCAAGGCAAACCGAAGACTTGTTTCGTACGAGAAACCAGGACCATGAGCCCCCAATATTTTTGTTGTCGTCTTAAAGAAAACGAGTCGAAGAAATTGTTACTCCTTTCTAAATACTTGGAGCATGTTTACCTGAAACTTCAACATAAATTTCTGTCGAACATCCCCTCATTCGTTTTCGGACGTTGGTTACCATTCTTCACTTAATTATCGCATTGTAGATATGTACACTGAAAACTGTGAATCTCTGTGCCATGCGGGAAGGAAGGGAAGTCCACTTGTGGTGTGGGCTTTTGGAGTATAAAGACAAAGGAATTTTAGACATTGCGTGTTTCTCTTTAGCAATAAGGTAAATAAATACCTGGTGCTTTCAAGCATATTATGTGCACAAAGAGAGAGGAGTACATGTAAAAGTCATGGCATATTTTACGGTTGAGTGTCTAATCTGGATTTCATATAAGGCTGCCAGCCCTACTTATGTGCCAGAAGATACAGAAAGTGAAGAAAGGCTGCTGCTGCTTTATCCATTGCACGAATATGATTTATATTGCGTACGAGTTGCAGAGAAATATTTCTATTTTAGAAACCCACTGCTAACGATACTGTCAAGATTCTTGGAGTCTGATCAAATATCTGATCGCAATAAAAGTATTATTGTGGGAATGATTTGAGGCGAACGGTACGAACGAGACGACAGGAATTATGATGTGGTTTGAATTATCATTAAATGCTGAACGGTTTTCCAAATATTTCTGTTAATATATTTTGACTTGATAAATATTTGTGCGTGTGTGTGTTTGGTTCCTCTTTTGACTAGAGGGTTGTTGTTCGTAATGTTGTTGTGTTCCTCGGACAGACTATTTGTTTAGGCATAAAGTTACCTGGTTGTCTTCACATCCTTTTGCTCTCGGCCAGACCAAAGAGAGCGGATGGCTTGTTGGGAAAGGAACCCACACGCCTGGATTCTCATTTTCATCTTTACGGCATATTAATATTTAAGTTATGCATAGTTATTCCAACATTATGTCAAACAGGGAGCCATTCTTGGAGTTTACTGCCCTCCCAATTGTTCCTCATTAGTCTCACTCTCTCTCTGGTTCGCCAAGATTTTTAAGTTCGAGCTGAACCCAGAAAACAAGGGATAATAATAAAACTGCATTACGTGTTGTATTCATATTCGTCTGCCAGCTTGACCCTCCAACTTTTCTTATTGAGACTTAACTCTTTCGGAAACATGAAGATCAACAGATTCACGCGCGTTCATGGCGCCGGGTCAGCGGCGAATTTTACTTTGACTCACAGCTAAATAGTTTTCGGTTTTGATTTATTTTCTGGAAATATGAATTTACTCTGAATTAATGCAAATATGGAGAGAAAGAAAGAGTGCATCAGGCTGGTTGCTTGAGGCTCTTCTTCTTGAGAATAAGTAAAGAAAGGCGTCAGTGGGAAAATTGTCTGATTGCAGTAAACGAAGCTCACACAATCAAGTTCTTAAATTAGGAAATGTGTTTTGGGAGGAGGGAGGAAGAAGGTTGTTGATATCACGATGAGGAGGAGGATGATGATAAGACGTGTGAATGGATGGACAAGGGATACGTACCAGGCAAAGGTGGTGGATTAAGAATGTTGGACAGATGAGGTGGCGAATGTTGCAGAGGCGTGAGGTGTTGCTGTTTATATTTGAAGAGGAGGAGGCGTATGAATGATGATAAGGCTCAGAAGACACCGCCGGATCAAATTCTCTCTCAAATGACAGTTATGACGGAGAGATTTGATGGGTTGAAGGCTAAGTTGTGTATTTTACTAGTCAGTCAGTCAGTCAAAAAACTCGAGAAAATTCAGTACATGCAGATTCTCACGTTACAAAAAACGGAGCACCACTTCATATGTAACGATGTGTACGTAAGACTAATTTTATGCAGGAAAGGTACGATAATTAGCCATACAACGGATATTCCAGATTCACATTGCAAACTAAATAAGTTGATTAGGCGTCCGAAATGTAGTAATTAGTATTCCAAGCAAACGTCAAAGGTATCAAAAAGATGTTGGATGGACGAATGAAATAGGCAGATTAGTGTCATGTTCATGCCATCGCATTACACAAATTATTCCTTCCAGCAGCAGCAGCAGCGAAAGGAATTACTTCTTCTTCGTCTTAAGCAACACTTAATTACTAACAGGATTTCCCTTCCTGTTGATAATTAGCATTTCTTGTACTAATTTAACACTTTGCCCCATCTTCATTAGGAGTAGCTAATAGTTTCAGTTTTTGCCAAGTTTTGTACCTGGGGTATAAATTTGTTGAAAACCTTGTTTATGAATTTAATGTATAAGAGTGACAATTAAACATGGTTTAAAAAATCTGTAGGACAAAATTCTATTGCAGGCTCAAATTTTCTTGAAATTAACTAATGATGTATTTTTTTAACTTTCCAAATTTCAGCCTCGGTGATGTTTGCCTTTCCGGATCAGGCCACTGTGAAGAAAGTGATCAAAGCATTGCCACGAGTGGGTGTGGGAATCAAATATGGGATCCCACAGACCAGGTAAAAGCCGCTTCTATTTTAACAAGTCTTTGAATAAATTACTCCACTAGCCAAACAAGCAACAAACCTGCTGCCCACAACTTTTATAACATATCACAACAAACGCCACAGGATAGCTGTCAGATATTAATGGGACATAATTTATTGGCTACGAGTGACGTGAACAGGGTGTCAATTCCTTACACATTGATGGTTCACATTCTTGTTCCAACAAGTCCATCATGTTACTTTTTTGAATATGCAACTCGTAAATAAATTCTAAATTTAAATTTATTCAGGGTAGATAAAGAATTTATGACGACAAAAGCGCTTACATATCAGTTACCATACAGTTGAAATGTTTTGAATCTTTTCCAACAATTGACAAATCTGTATGATACGAATTAGCCAAGTTCATAAAGGGAACTTTCAGATAAAGTCAGGTTATTTGCCCAAAGTCAAGTTTCTATGTGGGATTTAGAATTTAAAATATTTGTGATGGTTGAAAATCACTAATCCGTCTTAACATGCACTCTACAATGTATAAACCTTGATGTTTTAAGCTGAATGTATGCATGATTGCACCGATGCGATGATGATGACGGGAAAGGTTGTGGAGGGTTGTTTCACTCGAGCGAGGGTTGGAACTGATGACAGAAAAGATGAAATCTCATCTCTTGTGTGCCCTTCACTGTGTCTGGGATGGTGCATAATAAGACTTAATCGGATTTGAAGAGTCCAGTGTTCCGTGGAAACTTGTCAGTCTTGGATTGACATTGATTATTTACTGATAAATTCACTATGTTCATCCGTATGAATAAATTGTAACCATAATGCTTTCCGTTAGTAATGCACAATGGCTGGTGCAATATTTTCCGGTACAAGAGCTTCTAGATGAGAAGCAAGTTCAATTTGATTGGAATTTTGTTACAAAAAACCATGTGCATTATTGTCTTGGGATCATTTTTGTATTTCTTCCGGATAACTTGACTACTTAGCTCCGATAGATTATTGAATTCTGCTCATGGACAGTATTTTGGACCTACTTACAATTAGATACTCGTGGCATTCTGCTGGTTAAATACTTGTACATATTCTTAAGAGTGAGACGACCCTTATAGTTGCCGGTATTAGCTTATGTGGTGGTTTCCAATTTCGATTTGCCCAAAAATATCAGATTTCTTGGAGAGAGATAAGGAAAACTGTGTAATCGTTGACACGGGTGTCGTGTATCAATACAGATAATCCACGCGATTATATGAACGAGGATAATATGTAGAGCAACAGTTATTTGTCCTTATGGATGACCTTTGAGTACTTGACACCTCAGTTTGATGCAAGTACTTGATTATTTTATTTATTTGAAAAAATTCACAGACGGGCTTCGATGATGTCTCCGAGGCAGTTGATGAGGGCTTCCAACATGACGCAGAAATGGCAGCGGAGAGAAATTTCCAACTTTGAATACTTGATGTTTCTGAACACAATTGCGGGTAAGAAAATATACACAATTTATCATCCCATCCTCTTCTTCCATCACTCTGTGGAATTGGAAAGTGAAATCAGAAGAGTTTAATTTGGATGGTTGTCAAGCTCGAGAAATTTATTGCCTTTGATTAACAAGTTTTTCACCTCTTGAACATTGTTTGATGATTTGATGTGATTAGTGTAAATTGCCATGTTCTTCTCAATCAGTGTGCTCATTGACGTGTTGTTCAAGATGATTGCTGAGTTAATCACTCGCGTTTTAGACTCGACTTGATTTCTGAGAGCTTTTTAAAGAATATTTTTACTTATTATTGTAGCATCAGGGAACGAAATTTAAATGTATATACATATTTATGTATATAATCTAGTCACTCTAATTCTAGCAATTTTCAAGTAGTGTAAATTACCATAATCATTGAAAGTTTCATATAATTATGTTTTCTGCATGTCCATAGGTCGAACCTACAATGACCTCAACCAATACCCCGTGTTCCCCTGGATTCTAACCAACTACGAGTCCAAGGATCTGGACCTTGGTTTGTCCAGCAATTACCGGGACTTGTCCAAGGTATAATATGAATACACACAAAAATACACCTTTTCCATTGTGCTCTTTGTGCAAGATTTTTCACCCGTGCTCGCCCTTTCATCGCCACATAATATTATTTGGACAAGGCTCCTACTACGACTACTACTACTTCGTATCCTCATTCATTACGAATGGTATTGATACGAAGTACTTAGTAAATGGGATCTTGTGTGATTGTAAATGAGCCTGTTGGTGGTTCACGCACTTCACTTTTGAAAGAGGAGAACCACCGCTGCTGCTGAATGTAGTTGAAATTGAAATAAAAATTATTTCTTTTTTTGAACTCTTTGCAGCCCATCGGAGCTTTAAATCCATCCCGACGGGCGTATTTCGAAGAACGGTACAACACTTGGGAGCATGAGAGCATCCCAGCTTTTCACTACGGTTCCCACTATTCCACAGCTGCTTTTACTCTCAACTGGTTACTTAGACTGGTACGTGGACGACCTGAAATATAATGTTCATTGAATTTAAGAGATGTACAAAAGAAAATTTGTTTCTCTTCCGATGGATCATTTTTCCATTGTGAGATTAATCATGGGTAATGGAGCGCACCTTGTGCCAAAAAGGCTTCCCTGTTCAGAATTGAGACCAGTCTCAATTTTCTTACACGCATGATAATGAGTTTTCAATCAAAATTATCAAGCTCCCACTTCATGATTATTTGCATCGTTTGTGATTACTTTCCCTCCTAACCCGAATAATGTACCGGCACAGTTTGGTGGGGTTAAACCATATACTTTTGTACTGATTTATGTATTGCGAACCTGTGCTGCTCAAAAACAGCATCGATTTTCTATGAGAAGTTTTTAATTGACTTCAGATGTTGCCGTATAATTTGTTACATTGTGTCGTTCACACCCCACAGGAACCATTTACGACCATGTTCCTTGCCCTCCAGAGTGGAAAATTTGACCATCCGAACCGACTGTTCTCTGAGATTTCCCTTTCTTGGAAAAACTGTCAAAGGGACACTTCCGATGTCAAAGTATGTCACTCCTTCCTGTATATTCTTCAAATTTGTCAACCTTATCATCTTGGAAATCAGAATGTGTAAAATTGCTTAATAAAAATGTAGGAACTAATTCCGGAGCTGTTTTATCTACCTGAAATGTTTGTGAACAATCATCACTATAAATTGGGAGCTCAGGAAGATGGGAATACGGTTGATGATATCGAACTTCCGCCTTGGGCATCAACTCCGGAAGAGTTTGTTCGTATTCACCGTATGGTAAGTGATCCTCTTATATTTAATCTATTTACATATGTGCATATTCTGATAACAATATCCCTACGATACTACTACATAAATACATACGATAATAAACGACGCATTAAATATGTAGCCATGTATGTACGGATTGTTTTTTGGTCTGTTGGGGGTGGGTAAGGAAAAGGACGGAGAGAACTGGTCTGGAATTATTTATTTATGGGTGCAATTTCTATATACCCTTCATCTCTACGCTCTAATGTATTGTAAAGTAATGGGTGACATTGTTTTGTAAACTTGACTTGTAATAAATGTGTATTGCTTTGTGTATTGCAGGCTCTCGAGTCAGAAATCGTCTCATGCCAATTACACCAATGGATAGATCTTATTTTCGGATTTCGACAACGAGGTAAGGAGGAACATTTTCTCAATTAAAATGCCATCAGTGCATACATGCACTTTACTCTAGTCAGTCGCTAAAAGTGCAATGTTAAGTGTTGTGCAAAAGACTGCTCGGTTCCTCGTTTATTTACCGCAGAGCGACATTGATCTCTCATTTATTTCTGAACTCCGATACGACACCAGTCTCCCGAACGTATAAACATGTTGAGAAGTCGGAGAAAAAGGAAAAGTGTTTATTCTCTCTTTCACAACTACATCATCCAATCCAATCCCATTTCCTACTTTGGTGATTAATGGTCCATATCGTAGTTGGAAGGATATCTAGGAATGAAAATTGTGCATCTATGTGGCTGCATTGCATATCACGCTAAAAATACTGATACCAACGAACCTTCTGTAAAAAGCCTGAAGTTTACACTACACATTGAAATTAATTGACTTCTTTAGTAATGGTAATTGGATTGGTTTGTCGCTTTTTTGTGCACATCGCCCCGTGATTGTTGTTGCAGAAAGAGAGGACATAAGTGTTGTTTCTCTCTGAAAGTACTTGGATATTATACTTTTCGGTGTGTGTGTGTGGGGTTGTCTCGTTGTTGGATGGATTAGTTGGTCTCTGGGGAGAGAGTTAAGATGCATTAGAACAAATTGAATACGACAGCCTGTTCCGTGAACATTTCCGAGTTCAAGTGCAACCCAGGCAATGCAAGGCAACCTATTTACTAGGATCTTGAAAATGAAACCGGATGAAGTGGTGGCACTCACTAACAAGTAACTAATGTTGTCTGTCCCATTGGTCGTCAAATATTGTTGTCTCGAGAAAGATGAGCGTTTTAAAAAAAAATTCTCGTTCCACATTGAAAAAGGTTGATTCAATTGTCTGGAGGGTTTCATGCTGCATTTTTTCCATGATTCTGATACATTATTCGTTGAATTATTAATAAAACATTTATTTAGAAATATTGCGTCTGACAAGATTAAACACAGGGAAGACGAGAGAGAGGAGTTTGGAACACACGTATTTGTGGCGGATAATTGTTGCCAGAGAGGTTTCGATCATGACGCCTCTGTTGTTTTATGTTTTTTATGTTAAGTATGTAATGGGCTGTTACGCCTTCAAATTCATTTTCAAGTATTCAACTTTCGTTTACTTTACCAAAAACTTTTCAGCCTCCTTTAAGGAAAAAGTTTGAATGCTTCACATTCTTTGCTGAATGGCTAAACACGAACCATTATTTCGTTTTCTAAAAGTTTTTTCCGCGAGAGAATTTTGTAAATACGGCAGGGCACGAGTTCAACATCTCGCCAGAAAAGATTGCGTTCTGCAATTGTGGTTGGATATTGGAGGAGGATGCAAGAAATCAAAAGTTATTTCACCTTAGGCCTTTGTTTTAAAGGAGGGAGAGAAGAATCGTCATTAAACATCATTTTATGGTGACAGTGCGTCCAAAAATCACGTCAAGACTGACGTCAAGGGGATTTTTCCTCAGGATTTTCCCTCTCACTTGCGTAATTTTTGAAAATTCAGGAAACGATAAGAATGCCATGTTTACAGCTTTAAGGGATTAGTCAATGGTTATTGAAATGCATATTTATGGGGGAGCGAGAGTATTTTATAGTGACCCAGCCGTATCTTGTTAGTTCGTAAGTGCATACTGTCTCATAAAAGAATGTAGTAGTTGTAGGGGCTGTGGGAAAGGCAGGCAAAATGGAATGAGCACATTACTCATTCTTTATTGTTCCAATAGATGAGATAATAAATGGACAGGTATTCATGATCCGGAGTTTAATGAATTGATGATGTTGACCACCCAGCACTGCCTTTTTCAGCATAAGTCACGTTATATGTAAGGCTCTTGCATCCCTGTCCAGCATTTTGATGAGCAGTGGGGAGTCCTTATTATTCACTTGCTCTGGTTATTTAACAATAAACGAGGAACGTCTGCCCACTGCGAGGGTTGAATTGACATCTCCAACTAAATACTTCGTGCATCTCCCCTCGGATACGTCGTGCTCCTTTTTACTCATTTAGAATCCAGAATGGCTTTATTGTTTTGAGTTATCAGGGACATCTCGTTGACCCCTCGTCTATCTCGACAAGTCTGTCACTGTAGTATATGCAAGGCTCATCTTTTTACAGTTTTATTAACGCTCAACTGTGATACTCTTGTCAAAACTTTGTGTGTACACACAGTTTGGTTCTTTAGACCTTAGACGACAGGTACAACTTTAACCCTTTAACGTGTATGATTGACGACAAGAAAATGCATTAAATCGGGGACGCTATAACTATGTTGTGGTCATGGCGTGGGAGGAGAAATTCCGGAGTTTTAATAAAACTCGAAAAACTGAACAATCTAAAATTTAACATTGCGTTGTATAGGGAAATATCCAAATTTTCTGGAAGAAAATCTTCAAATTTAGCATTGTGTTGGCATAGGAGAAATCCCTCGAAATTGCAACAGATTTTAGGTCGCGGAGAGAAAATGGTGAAAATCAATGACCTCCTAGAAACGACAATTGTCTTCCTTCCGCGCCATGACCACGATTTTTCAGGACGACTTTTGTCGTACTCCCGAATTAAACCATTTCTTATAAAACGACAATTGTCGTCGTTACAGTTTAAAAGGTTAAGCAAAAGATTTCACAATCCGAGAAGCATATTCCATTTGATTATCTAAACTTGGGATAATTGAGATACATCCAGAATTTGTAGATTGTTAAGCTAATTTCGCCAGCTCAAGCAAATGAAACAGATAATTATAACATTTCTCTTCCTTCGTGGAGTCTGCGACCACACATGAGCGAGTTTAAATTAAGTGTCACATCTGAACCCAATCTTCTTTCTTCCTGAAATGTTGCAGTTGAGTAGCAATTAGTAGCATTCCTCGCAATCAGTGACGAGACGACTAGAGAAAGAGCAGAAACGTGGTGTACTCCTAGGTTCTGAATGAGTGTAACTCGAGCTGCGTTGTACGAGCTGTTCGTATTTAAGCTGTGGCGTACGTTGGGACTTTGGAGAGAAGGGAGAAATGGGCGACTTTTGCCTCTGAAAACTGTTAATTGCTTTCGTAAAACTAAACCTGTAGGGACAAAAGATGTGAATCCAATAATTAAAAGTGTATGTGCCTGAGAATTACTTGGGGAGTGACTGTTGTGTCGTTCGTGAAGATGTTTAGTTTTGTCATCATGCGAGTATTAACTAAATTCTAAGTCATGGGCTGTTTTTGATCTGTAGGACCGGAAGCAATCAGGGCGACGAATGTTTTCTACTATCTCACTTACGAAGGAAGCGTGGATTTGGAGTCGATCCATGACCCAGTAATGTTGGAGGTATTAAAATAATTGATTCTACTTGTACAACATTTAAATTAAGTATGGAACTTATTTTGGAAATTATTTTGCAGGCTATTGAGAATCAAATTAGAAGCTTTGGACAAACACCTTCCCAACTATTGATGGAACCACATCCCCCAAGGAGTTCTGCAATGCATTTGGTAAGTAAATAATTGTAGTAATTCGCGATGACGCAAGTATCACCAAAACATGTACCTTAATTGTAACATTATTTTCTGCTAGTCGCCGATGATGTTTTCCACCGTGCCAGACGACATTTGCATGGTCATGAAGTTTATGTCCAATTCTCCAATTTGCCACATTTCTGCAAACACGTACCCACAGCTTCCTCAGCCCTCCGTGGTCACTGTGACTGCGAGCCAAAATTTCGCCGTTAATCGCTGGAATACATCTTATTCTGGTAGGTTTTTTTATTAGTACTAATTTACCAAGTGTTGTATTGTTCTAATTGTTAATTGATATTTATTTACAATTTACAGCCTCAATGCACTCGCCAAGTTTTGCTGAAACTACAAATAACTTAACTGCGAACTTGCCTTTGATAATGGACCCTGCTCTGGCTCAAGTGAACAATCATCTCCCCAAAAGGCACTTGGGGGATAATTTTAGCCAAAAAGTGAAAATGAGAGCGAATTGTTTCGTCACAACTGTGGATTCTAAGTTCCTGATCGCATGTGGATTTTGGGATCACAGCTTCCGAGTCTTTTCCACAGAGACTGGTATTGAAACATGACCATTTTAGCTATGCGTCCTGTTTATGTGACTATCAAGTGTTGTCAAAACTAAGTCTAACTACTTTTCCAGCAAAAATCGTCCAAATAATTTTTGGCCATTACGGAGTAGTCACCTGCTTGGGGCGTTCCGAATGCAACATTACCTCGGACTGTTACATTGCATCAGGGTCCACCGACTGCACCGTCCTCCTCTGGCACTGGAATGCGAGGTGTCAAGCCATCGTGGGAGACGGCGAGCATCCTACGCCACGGGCCAGCTTAACGGGACACGACACTCCTGTGACCGCTTTAGTCATCTCGGCCGAACTTGGTCTGGTCGTCAGCTCTTCCGAAAGTGAGTTTGTCAGCTTTGTGTACATGTTTTATGCAACAAACATGGTACAGGTTAAACTAATAATTGTTTGTAATTCTCAGATGGTCCGGTGCTAGTACATACCACGTTTGGTGACCTGCTCCGAACTTTAGATGCCCCCTCCAATTTCCGAGGTCCTGAGAATGTCACCATGTCCAGAGAAGGGATCGTCGTTGTGAGCTATGAAAAAGGGAATATTTCTGCTTTCACTATGAATGGGAGACGATTGAGACATCAATCACATCACGACAATATTAATGTAAGATTGACTAAATAACTTTTTTAGATTTCATGTGAAAATATTTCCTAATTCCTTAATTTTGATTCAGTGTGTGCTGTTGAGTCGAGATGGAGAATACCTAATAACGGGTGGAGACAAAGGAATTGTTGAAGTTTGGAGAACATTTTCGTTAGCATTGCTATACGCTTTTCCTGCCTGTGATAGTGCTATCCGTTCTCTTGCCCTGTCTCATGATCACAGGTAATTAATTAATTGCAACGACCTAATTTGACAACCCAATTATAATTAACAAAATAATTCACATACTCCTTTATCTTTGCAGATTTTTATTAGCTGGTTTAGCCACGGGTTCCATCGTCGTGTTCCATATTGACTTCAACCGCTGGCATCATGAATTCCAACATCGCTACTGAAGATACTATAGAATTTTTAAGAAACATAAATAAATAACTAGCACCGTGCTTTCGCATTTGTGTCCATAATGCATTCCGACTAATAATTCCAGTCCATTCATCTTGAAGTAAAAAAAATTGTTTTATTACGACTGCAATCGAGTAGATTCCAACTCATGAATATTCTATATATGTTTGTCATTTAACCAATAATATATTAAATATGATTACGCTAATACTTTTAATAAAAGGAATATAAATTACAAAATATAAAACTGTTTTTTTAAAATTCCATTATTCATTTATTGTAAGTTTTTTAGGAAAATCTGTTATTGTATGGGCCGGATGGAGTTGTGTTGTGCTGAGATTCTGCAAATCGGGATGCGAAAAACTAATTGAGACTTGACACTTTGAGAGAAGATTTTGGCGACGTCCATCATCCGTGCAGATTGAGGTGATTGTGGTTCCAGTTTTCGGGGGAGGAAGGAAGAAGCCCAGTTCTCTAAGATCGAGGGGTCTCTCGGACTCTGGCTCAACAAGTGGACTCGCCTTCGTCTATTTTCCTTTTGCCCCAGCCAGTCAGTCAGTCAGCCAGCCTTACTGCACTCACTCCACACTCTCACTCTCACTGATTCTCTTGACCTCTTTTTAATTTAAATTTTTTGATAAGGACACATCGTTTACAAATTAACTAATCTTAGTCTTCGAGAAGGAGACGTCTTATCTTGATTGACGGATTGAGGCTCCAGTTCCGAATCTGTGTAAGATATTTAATACAAAATACAATTATCTGGCTAGGATTCTTTATTTATAAAATCCATTCAAATGTAGTCTTTTTTATGATGAAAATATGAAAGTCATCTCATTCTCAAGTTCATTTGCATTTAATTGGTTGAAAGGGCCAAAAATCATCACTTAATTAAACTCTTGGCATTCTTTTTTTAAACTCCCAGAAAATGGAAAATTGGTCTGGGCGACCACGGCAGAAGCCATCAATGTCGTTTGCATTGCCAATGATTTCCTACCATCCATCGTCCATTACTCGACCAAAGCCACCTCTTCCCAAGGACTACAAACCAGACCCTCGTGAAGCCAATCTGATGACTTATCAACTGAACAAGATGCCCAATGATAAGCTAGTCCGGGGTATTGCGGAAGTACCTCGAGTTCGATTTTTTACGAAATACCAGGGAGAGAATGTTGATCCTGATTTACTCAACACCAACTACAAACAGATCCCCCCATTTCCTCACATTAAACGACCTCAACCACCCCCATTTCCGCTCCCGCTCTTTGACTTGGAAACTTTGGAACGTACTAGTTCTAAAAAGTCTTCTGATGTGAGTCGGTTTAGTATGCCGAAGCCGCCCAGTTTCATTCGAGAGTATAGCAGAGAAGACCGGTAGGTCTTGTAAATAATTAATTACTGTACGTGTGTTGTATTAATCAAAGCTGTTATGTGACTGATTTTGCTTGTGTAGGTATGATGCTGACCGTCTTGATCGTGAAAGAAAGGGTGCGCTTTTTTCCCGTCGAAGTGCCAAGACCCAGCTGAACGTGAAAGTGGAGAAAGAGGACCCCAACAAAAAACGGATCATTCCTCTCGCTCAACAGGTCCGCCATTGGGAACAGCACCTGAGAGAAAAATCATCTAAGGAAAAATTGGCCGACAAACGGGAAAAGGAGGCGAAAGAGGCCGCAATCGCATTGGCAAAGGCAAAGCGGAAGGAGGCCAGGGCTGCTGCACGAAGACCACGCCCTGAAGAAAACGACTTGATTCACCGGATGGTCAGAGAGAGCAGAAAGTTTCAAACGAAAGCTCACCTGGAGTTGTCAACTCTTTTCAACAATCTCCCCCAGATGGTCGATTTTCCGACAAATGCTACCATAAAGAAGGTTGAAGAGGCTGAGCTGGAGCATATAACTCCCTCCAACGTTGATGACGTTCTCAATCGTGACAAGAAAGAACACAAGAAGGTCTATAATTACAAAAGGAAATGATGATTCAAACTCACTTTTTCAACTTCAAATCCCCTGGCCAGGGTTGTCTGTCAAAATTTTTAGTTCATCATATTCATATCCAACATATTACGAAATCTCACTTACATCATCTCAAAATTATGGTAAACTTTTGCAGTATGTTATTACCCTCTTTGCAACTTGAATAAAAGAATATATACTCACTGTGTTGGCACATAATTTAATAGTTTTTTTACTTGGTATAACTCATAATTAGTTGCAGAACAAACAACGATAACAACATAGCATTATGGTTAATGTGAGAAGGAAGCGCGTCTATTGAACATGGTCTACTGCTTTGAAAGTAGGACTTTCATACACTATGCACACTCTCAATCTGGTTGTTGACAGCTGAATAACAAAATTTGTATGTGACTTTCTCTTTCGAAACTTTATTAGCGCAGCATCGGGCCGACAAAGGCTTTGTTCTGTACAAGTACAAAATTGTATAATTTTGGTTATAATTTTGATTTGAACTCTTGTAAATAGCAAGATATCGAACTTGAGCATAAACTCGTAATTTTTGGAACCTGACTAAATCATTAGTGATAAATAACATAAATAAAATAAAATGTCATCTATACGCCCAATCATTTCCACCACCAAGTCGAGCCCAATTAAAAAAGTTGAAATTCTCCAGACCCTGCATGACGTAAGTTTTTGGGTGTAATTATTAATTTGATAAGTATAGTTTAGTTTCTAGTTTAAGAATTGATTTTTATTAATGATGTTGTATTTGGTTATACAGAAGCTGCTACAAGGTCCACCATTATTAAATGCATTGATCTATGGGTTGCCAGCAGGATTCGAGGGGCTAGAAACGCCTGTCGCAATAACCGTGGTCAGGTACAACAATGACGACTCGCTGGAGTTGGCCTGCAGCACCCTCCCCTATGGAATCACCTTAATTGGCATTGCTGAGTTCGACTCGGATGAGACACAAGACCTTTATGCAGTAAGAAAGCTAATATTAAAACATCACGACAAGATATTAGCTGTGTATGTGCTTATTATTTATAGTATGACCTCGTTTTCAGACCCTGGACCAAGTTGAGCACGCCATTGTTCTGAAGGTGACGATCGATGAGGGAATTGTGTGCTCAACAGGGTTGGATTTCCTGTCCCCGGTTAATCTTGAGGTGGTGTCGGAACTAGATTTTTGGAACAAGCAAGTAACAACATTCCGGCTGCAAGGACAATTGCTACTCACGAGTCTTCTAGAAATTCCGGATTTGAAAAATGGTTTCACCTCAGCCAAGGTTAATATCAATATGATCAAATCATCGCTACGAATAATTTAAATTTACTAAAAATATTGTGTTTTTAATCAAAATCATTTAGTCGAAAGTACAACATCAAGCAGCATACTCGTTTGGAAAGCGAGGAGCTTTCATTCTTCCTCCTGACGGAAATTTTTCCTCTACAACTGACTACAACGGTGAAAGTACATCTCACACTAAAGGAAAAGTTGGAGATTTGCTAAAGTCTTTTAAACAAGAGACAGAGACCAAAGATAAAACTGTGAGATATTTGCCGCCTGCTTCTTTAGTAGAAGTCAAAATATTTTTTGATCAAACTAAGAGTAACATGGACAACAGCCCACTGGTGGTCGTGTTTGAAAAAAGTAAGTTGTGTTGAAGATTGAAAATGATGATGGTTACAATATGAAATTAAAGGTATAATTTCTAATTAGAAATTATTTTATATTTGTCTAGGTGCATCATGTAAATATTTCGAACACTATTTAGACTTGGATGTTTTGGTTGTTATTCCAATGAATGCTCGAAATAGTCAATTATACGAACAGTTCAACCTCGCCGTCTGCAATCAATTAGATTTTGGGTTTTCCAATTGCATTCAAAAGCAACTTGTGAATTCCATATCTGCAGAGAAACCTGAGGTTTATCACTTTTGGCCCGGCTTTGGAAACCATTTCACTTCTATCGTATATCCTCAAAACACGTGTCTGGAAAAATTAAGTAAGATCATAATAATTAAATAATAATTACCCAACTTTTACTAATAATATTCGACTTATTTAAATATTTGTAGAGGAGACTCGTCTTGAGTTACACAACTTGTTTTTTGTGAAAGAAACCCGTCCATTTTTCCGTCAGCCAGCTTCCTTGTTTCAAACCCTAGTAGGTTTGATATCCCCTCATGTGTCCTTGACCCCTAAATTTAGTGAGACAGAGCTGGTAAAAGGACATTATGAATATAGACATTACATGCAAGAAGGTTTCAATGATGATGGTTGGGGGTAGGTCATACTTTGGCAATACTTTTAGTATGTTTTACGAGGTTATTGTCAAATCTAAGGTGTAATGTTCTAAATAATTTTATTCTAGATGTGCGTATAGATCTTTGCAAAGTATAGTTAGTTGGTTTCGGTTGCAAGGATTTACATCAAGGGACGTGCCATCTCACAAGGAGATACAAGAATGCCTTGTAAGCAAACATTTATGTTAGGCTTCTTAATTGTATATAGTTTCCTACAAATTATTTATATTTTTTTAGGTCAGTTTGGGTGATAAGCCACAGTCTTTTATCGGATCGAAGCAATGGATCGGTTCAACAGAAGTGTCTTTCGTGTTAGAAGCGCTACTAGGTGTGAGTTGTCGGATCATGTCACTTACGAGCGGTGGTGAAATGGCATCAAGGTTTACAACATAGCACTTTACAAAATTATGGGGTCTCTATAATTCGTATTCTTAATTAAAATCATTTATTTCTCAGAATCAATGAATTGCAATCACACTTTCGAATACATGGAACGCCAATAATGGTGGGCGGTGGGGTTTTGGCTCACACAATAATCGGAGCTAGTTGCGAACCAGATTCGGATACTGACGTCAACTTCTTGGTACTGGACCCCCACTACACTGGCAAAGACGAATTGAAAACTATTCTTGGCAAAGGGTGGGTTGGCTGGAAGGACAATAATTTTTGGAGTAAAAAAGACTTTTACAACCTATGCATGCCTCTGCTCCCCGCATCCATCTGAAACACATTCTTCAATAGGGGCAACAATTTATATTGAAAGAAAAGTAAAACTCAAACGAACATAATAAAAAGGTCATAATAATTAATGTTTAGTTCATGATTTAAAAAAATATATGGCACTTGTGTCATGTCATGCCAATTTAATACGTATGGTTTAAAATAAATAATTTTCCTCACTTTATCCATGATTGTTAAGTATTAGTATAGTTTAAATTACAGTACGAGTGCAATCATAATATTAATTGGGCTGGTCTTTCTTTTTTTATTTCTTTCAAAATCGTACCCTCCTTTCCTGTATCATTCCAATGTTTATTTGAAATATCAAAACTATAAAATAATAAAATGTCTTTGAACAAAGTTTCGTTGTTATTTTCAGTTATTTTTTATTAAATTTATGTATGTATTTCGGCGTAACAATAAATATAAGTCGTGTGATAAGAATATATTGAAGTCAAGTAAAATTAAGCATAATAATCAGATCTTATCAAGTTAAAATTGTCCTGGCATTGCTAAGAATTAGAAAGAGTCGAGATTTGAGCCTGCATATGTATGAGAGTAAGAATTCCCAATAACGTTGTTGCACAAGAAGATGTACAAAAGCAGAAAAGTGATGCTTACACTTACAACATTCAACAAGATTTTAGGATTAGCCAATTAATCAATTGCGACATGACTAGTTCTATCGACTAATAATGTGGTGGTGGGTGTATACATAGACATCATGTTTGTATTATGTAGTATGTACTAGTTAGCAGCAGTAAAATTTTCTACTTGGACAGTTTTCCATTCCTCAACAACGATAATAAAAAGTGGCTTGAGAGAGAGAAACGCTTGTGAAAAATTTGCAAATGGCAATTTGTTAGGCTAAAACGATATAATATAAAATTTACATATGATGATAACCGCATAGTCACCATTGACCACTTATAAATACCTTTAGAGTGTTGAGATAACAGTTACTATATAAATGGAATGTGGGGCGTGGCGTCTCTGTCCATTATTCGTTCCGTTAGAGAGTGACTAATGTTCATTTCGTATAATAATTATAATAATAATAATCAAGTAAGATCGTTAAAATTACATTGTCATAATCATGCCATTAATAATAATAATAACAATAATAAATAGTCCAGCAAATGCTATGATATCACATGCGATGTATAATTTTGCATTTAGTGCAGTGTACAATTGAACATAAATAAGTAATTCAATCAACTCTTTTCGACATTGTTTTTAACAGTTGAGTCAATACTAGGAATTTAGTTGGTTACAAAATGTATAGTGAAATGACAGATTACAATTTCATCTCTTGGAAATGAATAAAGCTCCAGTTAATCAGAATGTGTTACAAAAATCAGATCCATAAAGGAGGTAGTGGCGGTGAGGTAATGCAGTTAACCCATAAATGGTGAAAGTAGCGCTTAAGTTTCTACATCTTTCTTCTGCTAATATCTGGCATGAGCTTCCCGTCTCCAAACCAATAGCTGAAATACGTGAACACAAAGGAAGGAAATTAGGTAACAATACGAATATTATTGGGTAGATTTTAGGATAATAAATAACTTACATAATCATGAGGACTTGCATAGCTACGGCGAAAACCACGGCGAGAACTGTATTGGTCACTGGAAATGGATCCTTGGGGAGTTTGGGTTTTGCCAATTTCGCTTGGATGCTTGCCACGGTAGTTCGGAGCTCTTCTATTTGTTCGGACTGTTGAATTTGTCGGGCCAAAAGTTGTCGCAAGAGGTCGATTAGCTGTCGGTTACTTTCCCTGTATAATCGAAAATTTTGGTGAGGGTAGTTCTATTATAACTAGTAATATAAGTAAATAACTTTCAATACCTTTGATGGAACGCAGGAACAACTTGATCTGGTGGAATGTCCCGTCTAATATCACACTGAAAGAATAGCCATTGATATTAAATGCACATTTATTGGAATTATTAAAATGTATTTCAGTAGATATAGAAGGGGTTTCGTGTTGTTATGTGATGGTTAATAAGACGAAACTCAAACCCGAATTTCAAATAAATACGTAATTTTCAAAGTAGTAAAAAATAATAGGTAAAATAATTAGTATGTTAAGAAGTAAGAAAACTGAAACACAAAAATCGTTCCTACATAGAAAGAAGATTTAACTGAAATATAACAACAACACAAACCGAATAAAACAAAAATAAGTAAAACATACACCGGAGGCTTCATCAGAGTCAGGGGATGGCGAGCTATTGGACAAAGAAGACCCCAAAAGAGGATTGCTTCCGCTTGCAGGGTCTTCAGAGTTACACAAATTCTCAAATAAAGTCTTTACTTTGCTGTCCACGGAAATCAGAGAGGACGCCCTCATGATGGGAGTCTTGTGGCGTTGGTGAACCTGAACCATGTAGTCCTGAAATTAACGTAAAACAAAACCATGACATTTCCACTTTCTCCACTCAACTCTATTGTATTGTGTCATACACGCTCAAACTCCATCAGATCATTTCCAACATCCCATGGTCTCAAATCCTCAAACTTGTAACGCCATGTATTACCATCCTATGCAACAAATTTTATGGAATCATTAAAAAGTGATAATTTAAAGTAGAGCATATTTTTTGTGAAGTCATTACGTATAGAAAATTTTTCGGGACCCATGAGCTGTTTGTGGCTACTCTTGCAGTTACCGCTTTCCGTTGTTCATCTTCCAGCTTGGTCTTCTCTGTAGTAGCCGCTTCCTGGTTGTCCTCAACAATTGCCTCGGTCACTTTAATCCACTTCCGCTCAGATTCATTCAGCTCTTGCTTGTCCAAAGGAACAGTGTACCGTTTAAGGCGTCGTGCTCGAATTTTATCATTTACTTCCCAAAGCACTTCTTCACACTACAAAAAAAGTTTGACATCAGTAAAGTTTCCTTTAAGTGATAATTTAAAAAAAAATGTATATACCCCGGTCTGCCTATCTTTCATTACAATCTTGTTGTCCCAGTGGCCTTCAACTAGAAAATTAATCAAATCATAGTGTCACCATACATATTGAATGTTTTTGATTTGTTCACCATTAAGAAAATTATATATTTGCTCCTACGTACCTGTTGCTACTGTTTCCCGACCCAGCTTGATCTTACCAGAAATAGTGTTGGTTGTATCAGATCGACCCAGAAATCCCTGAGATTTGAAATATTAGTGTAAACGTTTCGAATTTACTTGCTTTTTGAATATAATTAATTTGATCTTACCTTCAACTTGAATTCAAGCTCAGAAAAGTAGCCAGTTTTTTCACAAACGATCGAAACTATTGGGGGTCAAAATAAAACATAATATATGCAAGTCATTTATTTCCAAGAGCTAAATTATTATATTATCCTATACCTGTTCCACCAAGTTCCATAGAGAGCGTCCCCACTAAAATCCCTTTACAGTGAGCGTATGGCATGGTCATCTACAAACAAACCGGGCAAAACAGACACTCTTTAGTTAGTGCTATTTACTATCAATATTGTCAGAACTTACGACATAAGCCTCCCCTCTTGGCAACAAAGTCAGCGTGGCTTGTCCTTCCAAAATAGCAGAAGTAGAGTTTCCTGTGATACAAAACCTATATTTTAAAACTTCTTTCACGGGATTATAGTAGTTTAGATTACAAAACTTTACCATAAAATTTGGATTTTGCCAAAATGGCAGAAGAAATGACAAAGCCATCTTTTTTGTTACTGACATAAAATGCAGAAACTGGTGGGTGGTGTGAAACCTGTTCCAAACAATAATTACATTACTTAAATAATACTCATTTTGACTTTCCAAGACTATGCATTACCTGTTCTGCAAGGTAAAAGGTTCGAGAACCCGTTGGATGTTCCCTAAAAGCAAGTCATTGCAAAAGTTAGATATTCACTTATTGAGGTCAACTAAGTTTAGTTTTATGAAAGTTGTGCACATGTTGGCTGTCATATTTTCACCACTACTTTTCCTACACCACTACTGACAGAGCAAAATGAAACACAGGAGAAAACTCAACTCTGTGGTGACTAGTTAAGGAAAAACATTCCCCACCATCTTACCAGTAGCATCTAAAAGTTTCCCCAAGGATCGGATTGTAAGGCTTCTTGAGTCCTTTTGGTTTTTTGTAGAAACCTGAGAGGTACCAGCGAAGGATGGATTTCATACGAATGAAGGCGTCATCTTCTAGCACGGCCCTGTTCACGCATATCAACAAGGATTATGATCAAGAAAAAATTTCAATAGACAAAATGTCATTACTGAGAAAGTAAGTCGGCGTGATAGTAGTAGTCCGTAAGTTTATCGAGAAATGACCGAGGTTCCAATATAAAGGTCGGGAGCACAACACGAGACAAATCCATTCCAGGCCGCACTTGTTTTACAAGGAACCAAAGCAAGGATTTGTTTTCATCTCCCAAAACTTCTGAGTGCTCTCCAGTTGTCTGAAAAAAATGTATGTATACATACATTATAAATCAAATCTCAAAGATTGGGAGGTTAAAATTTAACCAAAAAAATTGTGCTAAAGATTCCTTACATGAGCAAACTCCTCCTCAACTTTGTGGGCATAACATGTTTCTGCTGGAGTCGTCTCTTCAAAACTTTGCTGATTAGATTCATACCGTTTTCTTCGCTTTCGCAAGCCCTGCGCGCTCATGGGGTCGTCAATACTTTGTTTGGCTGGTCTGTCCTCGTTCTCATCATACATGTCGTCATCATCAGAATCATGTTCGATAGCCTCTTCAATGTGAGAGGTGTCACTGTCCGATTTTTCAGAGTTACTTCGAGTCCGGTTATTTTCTTCTGCGTCCGAAGGGCACCATTCTGAAAATCATATAGAATGCGGGTTAACAAATAAGGGCTTACTCTATATATTATTTTTATTATTTTACTACAAACCTGCATCATGACTTGTATCCATTGTATCACTTGTACGCGGTGACCTAACGAGCAGGGACGAACACCTATTGAAATATAGAAAATCTAGAATTTAATTACAATTGCACAGGAATAAGTAATTTATAGGTTATCTAATCCATCTACTGCTTGCGTTATTATGATTCAAAACCCTGTAATGTATACGACCCTACCGTAAAAGTAATTTGTGAGACTGCTCTTAAATAAATACCCTGGTTCTTGTGGTATGTGCACTGTACTGTATGAAGACAACAAGACAACTATTGAAAACCTGTCCTAATTTCTGTATCGGCACCCAGCCTTAAAGCTACAACGCCACTCTTCTTTAGATAAGTAGGCAAATAGCTCAATGTGGCGCAAGATAACGATAAATATCGATTTTCAAAGTAAAAGTGTTTTCCAACTATAACTACATATACTTAAGTATTCCAGAGTAAGTCCAATAAGTACATATGCTAAAAGACACCCTCCGTATCTGTGCGTGTCGGTAATGCTTTCACTTCAAAGTTTTTGTTGCCAAATATGTAATGTCCACGTCATCTAGCTCATTGGCATTATTGGACACAATAAAATTCACCGATTGATTGGAATAAACTTTCATGCATTTCAGGCCAAGTGTGTGTACATATCTACAGCCAAAGGTGTCTTTCTTCCAATCAATTTATTTATGATAGGAGGATGAAGAGTATTATCTATCTTACGTTAAGGCAAGTTCCAGCCCATCCATCCAACACTTTCCCTCGTCGGCCGTGGGAGCTCTGCAAATCAGGTATGTCGTCGGAAGGGGTTGTACGACGGCACCAATCGTTTCTCCACCTGGACCCCTCGTTGACCAAACGGACTGCTCAAGGGGGTGGAAAAGTTTGAAGCAAAACCCGTCTTTCTTCGAAGGTCTCTCAATGACTTTGCAACAGCTTAAAAGCACCGTGGCGACCCAGTGACTACTCTGAAAAGTGTAATTAATATGGGGCGACGCAACAGTCAGTATTTCGCTCTGATATTCTAGATTTCCTCCCTTCACCAATATTACATATTTCCTACGAGATTGCAGTATTATTACTTACTTTAACTTTCCCCTTGTAGAAGAGGAGAGAACCAGGTTTGAGGACGGCCCAGAGTTTTGTCCAACCCTTAAGCTTGCCCCGGACTTTGAGTGTTCCGGACAAGATTGTGATGGAAGGATCCCCTACGAAATCAACTATAATATTAATTAATCCCTGGAGTTACTAATCTAAGACTATTTTGGACACAATTGGGGCATTGCTTCGAAAATGTTGCAAAAGAAACAAAGATTTATTGAAAAACCTAACGTGGGAGCATACCAAAGTAGTGAAAGTCAAAAGTTAGACTCTAACTGTTAGAGTCTTAGGACATCCCAAAAAAAACGAAGAGTATAAAGTTGTTTAATAATTGGCCCTATAATAACATTCGTCTGGTCTTCGTATTTTAAATCTGATCTTAATTAGTTAAGTATAAGTGGTTTTCACAAGAAAATGTCAACTTTTGCACAATATTGACTTGTAGGGTATTCATGTTTTTAAACGGCCGATTACTACTTTTATAATGCAAATTTGCTAATCCAAGGTGGGGGATTTTCGTCAGACAAACTATTTGATACAAAGATCATACCTGGAGGAGGATCCTTAAATCTACGATCCTTCATCAACGCGGTCGTCAGCTCCTTGGCCACTCTCTGCTTCTCCTTGCGGTAGTTCTTCCTCTGCGCTTTGTAAGACAGCTCCTGTTGCGACATAATTGTATTTAAGGGAAGATTTATACAACTTTCAAAGTACAAAATAATATGCAGCCGTCTAGAGAAAATGTATAATGTACGAGGTATCACACAACCCAACGAGTACTTGGGGCAAGAATGTGTCAGTCCGACTTCTATCCTCAAAGTGATTGAATACAGGAATATTTTGAAAGGAAAATGTAGACTGTAATATGTTCTGACATCAAATAGGAAACATATTAGCCTAATTCACAACCAGTGCTGATACGAGCATGACCCTACTAATGGAACATGAGCAGATGAAAATTGATTCTTCAAAATTACCATTATATTCGCAATATAAAAGTATTAAATTCGGGACAAAATTGAAAAGTACAGAGAGAGATCAGTATGGAAAAGTTCAAAGGGAAAGAATTACGGATAATGACAGAGAGAAGGAAGGAGGAGAGATTATATTTTGTTACCTTGCTGTCGTCTGCATTTTCCTCGCCCACCACAGAACCTGTCAAGAATTTGCGAAAAAACGGTATTTTCATCTTCAATACGGTGTTCCAATAAGCGCAATTATCCCTGTCAAGCGATGAGAAATCTAATTTGAAATGAAAGATGAATCGAATGATAGCAGGAAATTTTTAGTTGACTGGAGATTGGCAGGTACAACAGATGAGCAACATTGAACCAGACAGCCGTTGTCTGGGTGAAATTTAAGTCACTAGAGGAGACGCGTGAAGGTGGGTTGGGGTCATTCTCACACATTTTTTTTATTTAATACTAATGTCTCAAGAAGACGGAGAAAGTTTATAATAAAAACTATAACTTGTTTTACAACTCTGGAAACTTTAGGAATTAATTGACCATTAACTCATCGTCGTGCTGACAAAGAAACCTGCGACGCTATTGTTACAGTAGCATCGGGAGGGTGACTGTAGAAAAAAAACTAACTTTGAAAGAATGACAAACTTCCAGGTAAAAAAAGGCAAAGTTCTTTGTATAAAAAGCCTTCTCTACATAGGTTAATTTCATTAGATTGCGAATTCAGAGCAAGTATAGTCAGCCGACCAAAATTGCGAAATAATAAATTAACTTGGCAGGTGGATTATAGCAGTGAAATATTGAACAGAAATCGACGTGACGATATTAGTCAATGTTTTAAAGCAAGCAGACTTGTGCAAACATAAATAACGAGACTAATACAACAACCAAAAAGGAATATATACCTGGGGAATGCGGACTCTTGTTGAGTGATTCGGAGGAACCGTTATTGTGAGAATGTGACCCAAACTTTGGAAGAACGTGCAAACTTGGCTTCCTTTTCAGCTCTGCTAACAAATGGGAAAAATCAGAGGAAGAAGAGGTCACAAGACCTAATCATCAAAATTAAACAAAGTTTTATAAGCAACAATAATCAATGAATCGATAATCGAATGTATTAATGAATTAGTTAATTGATAAATAGATAGAGAAATGGCTTCTTTCAGCAAATTAGTTGCAAAGAAAACATGCAAAAAGTAGTATTACCCGTCATCTTGCTGCTGCATGGAGTCATGTTGTTGACGTTGTTGTAGGGACACGTCGTCGCCGGTATTGTTGTCGCAGCAGCCACACAGTTACTCGACGTACTTGAGGAATGGTACTGTGGGGTTTGAGAATGCGAAGAATAGGAAGTGTGGCTGTGAATGGTGTTGTTTCTGGACAAGTGGCTACCATGAAAGGAGCTATTTTCATGCTGCGGTGAGTGAGAAATACTGCCACCACCCGTCTTCGGAGTGACCCTGGTATTACTCGTCGATGATGGAATGCTGACTGGTTCTGACATTTTCTTCTTTCACGGTTGGGTATGTGCAACAACCGGTCAAAATTTCAGGGTTGGAGGAGTAGTAGTAGTACCACCATCACTTATTACGAGTTACACAAGCCGTTCCTGTACACCCATCAAAACAAAAACATTTAATGAATCTTCATTTCGTCAGCAGTTATTATGCATATGTGCAGGAGAGCTTGATGGTTTAATATTCGATAAATTGTATGTGTGTATATACATGTATTTAAATAAGTGGGTTAGTAAGGTTCGCCTTGAATTTTGTCTCTGAATAATAGATATTATCGACGGGATGGAAAGACTAGTTAGACCTCCTCGAAATATTGATCTGCGATACAAAAGCATTATGTTGTGGCCCTAACTCAATTTAGTTTACACAGTGGTTGACAATACTAAAGTGAGGCAAATAAATGGTCTCAATGGGGAACATAGAACACAACCAGCATACCATTTCGACCACTATTATGCACATAGTGTAAGCTACGTAATAATAATAATAATAATATTTATTCGACTTTGTATATGACAAAAGCCCTCATAATTACATTATCATGAGGTTTATAAATTTAGCTAAAGAAATGATATGGGTTTTGTACTAGGGTTATTGAGAAGAATAGATTTAGCTATGCATACATTGCATAATTTTGTAAAGTCATAAGTGTAAGTAGTCAAGTGAGGAAATTTGCAGGACATTGTGATAATTTATTTTGCATTGGAAATTAAAACCTGCTGACCAGAAAATAAAAAAAGAGATTTGTAGAAGGATTCTTGTGCTATGTTATTTTTAGTATTTTTCGGTGATATAGCTAAATATGAAATTTCAGGACGTCATTGTTGGAAGTGTTGCTCTCGGTGCTTCAAGGCATTCAAAGATAGTCAGTGTAAAGTAATAGCGTTTCGGAGATTCCCCCGTCACAAGTTTCAATGTGATCATTGCTGAATTATAATTGCGACACGCCGTATAAGGTTCAGCAGAGATAAATAGATTCGAGATTTCGCTCAACTCGAGTTACAACTTGTAACTTACAAAGTCATTAATTTGGAGAAAGCCATATGCACGAGGAAGAGGATGTGCATGTTTGCTTTAGATTATAATTAGTGACTTTGCGAAAGGAAAGTTGTCACATCGATGAACTTTACTTTAGCTTTTGTATCGCAAATTGGACACCTAGATCGAATTCAGCTTTTCCATCCTCAATGTCAGAGACGTGCATTTTATGTCACTCTAACATTTAGTTTTATATGCATAGCAGTTTGGCAGTGGGAGAAAATGTTTAATCCTGGAGTTTGGCACTATATATCGACCCACGCTTCCAACTAGGCGTGCCTGCTGGTGCCAAATGTCCAATTATTAAGATTTTTCCGATGACAGTTGAAGTGTCATTTACTGCCAAGGAAAACTGTAGAAATAAATAACAAACTCTCTCTGGAAGCAACTACTTTTTGGCACGTATGCTCATTCCATGCTATACATTTAGATTAGAAAGTGCTACATAAATGTATGTAGCTGTATGTACGTGTATTACTAAATACCATGCCGGTTTGACTGGCATATTCGTATTTACTTCCATCTCTCCACGGTCATGGAAATTGACAGCTCAATTTTCTCATTGTCCATGAATTTCCATATCAAATTACTTTAATATTAGACATGCATTGCCGTCGTACGAGTAGAAAACAGCTAATAAAACAAGATACGTATCTACAAATACCTTGATTTGGTTGAGGATTTCAGACTAGAACAAAGGCCTCACTAGAGAGTGATGATGATGTACATATTTCAAAATACGACTTTGAGCTGCAGTCTGTACCGACTCACTGTTTAATCAATTTCAAAATATGCCAAAATATGTAGATGCATGTCTATCAGAAATTTGCGTTTTTAATATTTTCCTCCAGTATGTCAGGGTAACCTTTACGTTCGTTTGATCAACAAGGAAAATTCGTTGATGCAGAGATTTGATCGATTTGTTGTACACAAAATATACTCAACTTCCCTCTTTGTGATATTTTATATTCGCAGCATGAGTAGTAAACGACTAATTCTGAATGGTTATAATAAGCTTCTTAATAAACTCACTAAAAATGTGTAAACAATGTATTGTACTACATTTTGGAAAAACCATTGTCATTCTTTACAATCCATTATTCATCATTGTTGAAGCCATCAAACTGAGCTGTTTTGATGTAGAACAGCATTATAATTTACCTCAAACCCTATAACAGTGCAGCTATTGTCTATGCACTCGTATATCTGTGAATGAAATGCGATAACTTAATTTTTACTTTTACTGCTGTAAACATTGGACCAGCACATTTACATTTTGCAGCCCCCTTCCCTTGAATTTTATTGGAATTTACTGTTTACATCATGTTTTATGAACTAATGCTGCGTACATTTTAAATACCATCGCAAACAGTTTTATGAGACACATACCTTTTTCCTTAAATATTATGTTTCCTTATTTCCGGGAACTCTGGTGTGAAATGAAATGCAGCATATCAACCAAGGCCAACTACACATTTGAGTCTGAGATTGTTTAGACAAACTTGAATCTTGATGTATGTGGTTCAAAGATAAAGATAATAGTCCGCATGCAATTTTCTCGTTCAGCAAATTTGCAAAAAAATAATGGCAGAATAACCAACAACATGAGATTTTGTGCAATAAGATTTCGCTAATACTTGTTCACGGGTCACTTGGTTATTATGATTACATTACAGTTTGACGCACTTAATATAAGCTTTAACTCACTCTCTGTGTCTCTAAATGCCACCTTATTTCGAAGAAATTCACTGGCGTCACTGTGACCATGAATTAATCCAATTTACCACGACAAACATTAGAGATTGCTTTTGACAACTCCGATCCTGCAGATTATGACACTTGCAAGGAATGAATCACTGCAACACACTGTGTACATAAACTTGAAAATTTGGTATTAATTTGCAACACAGGATAACAACTCTCAACGGGAGGAATCCTCGTTGTCAGACCTGCTTCTTCCTTGACAAAATAGCACACGTGATAACAATAACGTTCCAAAACAACTAGTTGCAACTATGTGTTTGTGCACGTATTTAGTAGGTTTCGTTAAACGGATAAAGTGTAGCTTATTTACTTCCAGGGAGCCGAGAGTGTATGGTGCGGAGATGTCAATGATGCCGTTTATTGAATTCAATTGAACTGTTGATGCCACAGAGTTCACATGGACTTGAGCACGATAAGTACTTACTCCGTCGAGCTGCTAACCGAACTCGTCGACTGTGCGATGAAATGAATGCATGAGAGGTGCGTTCTCTAAAACGATTGGAAGACCTCTTCTCCTTCCTTCTCTGCTGAAATGATAGTGATTCACTCACAATTCGTCAAATCAAATCTGTTCAGCACAGACACGAACTGTGCTTAAAATAAATTTACTCACTAAAATCAACTTGCATAACAAAAAGAGTTCAACACTCACGTCAATGTCAATTTCAATACGAGCCTGGTAATGATAGCCTAACTGGATTTATGCACCAAAAATCAACAAGTTTTAAATTTAATCCTGGATTAATCATTTCCCTTGGGTTAAACGAGTTATGAACATCCCAATTTGGGAATACCAACCACTTTACAACAGAGTAAATATGCACTGAATGTATTAAACGACTTACAGAAGCCATATTTATCTCTTTTCAAAGATTTCCCTAACAAAGATTTTATTTATTTCTTGATGGATATATTATGCTGAATTCATTCTTATTTTATCGGCCCATTAACCAAACCATGATTTTAACTTATTTAACTGGTCTGCTGCTCTGGTTCGAAGTCCTTAACTTAACGACTACTGCTGGCATCGCATATTTGCTCAAGTTTACAAAACATTGTACAGAGAATACTACATTTTCTTCTAAATTGAAGTATTCCCCGCACTATATTGTTAATTTTATGACGAGAACGTATAGTTGGTTTAATACAAAAAAGAGCTACAAGTGCAAATTTAATCAAATACAAAATATAAAAAAGTCACGTTCTTTGTTTTAACTGCCAAAAATATCTTTGAAGTGGAACATGAATGAAATTCTAACTTGGCATTGGTAAATTTGATGCAATCCGATATGCTCGAAAATCCCAAGTATATGCATATGCATTCAATCATTTCATTAACAAGCTATATTCTTATGCAGAAGTTTAAATATATATTTCAACCTTGTCTTGTTCTTGACTGAGAATAATTTTGGGTTGTAAATTGATACTGGAAAAAATTCAAAATGAACTTGAGACTAGATTGTTGGATCGATAAGATGACGACGCCGGATTTATATTCTATTAGGAATTAGCATTGCAAATCTAGCCAGATTTAATTTAAATTTGTTTGGTTAAGATACATACATATGTATCCTGCTTGTGTCACCAGATTCATTATAATATCTAAATTTGAGCCAAATATTAAATCCAAGTCATGCAAATTTACTTTCTACCCAACCTTCAAAATCCTTGGTTCTCGCTTCTCGAGAATATCGATTTCTACACCTTATCAATTGTTTGTATAACATTGGCATATGTATTTATTTGTACTGATTGATTATTTAAGCGGTTATCTCATCTCCTGTAATAAATTTTTCCCGGATTATCAATCGATACTCACCTTGATTCAAGGAGTCTTCTCTAAACTGTTTTGGTTTCACAATGCATTGCATAATGTCTTGAGGTTTTTGGCAATTTTATCAATAGCACCCGTAACGATTTCCAAATATTTGAGCCAATATCTTGCTTGCTTGCATAAGTACACTCACTTTCCAAAATTGTCAATTGTCTAATAATTGCTGTTTCTATTTGTTCCGACTTTTTACGTATTGAGTATTCATTAAAAACAATAAGCGTATATTTTATTGAGTACTTTTGTCTGGCAAACTAACACGTTTACAAGTTCATTATTATGTAAACCTACGTGTCAATAACTCCCACTTTACGTTTTACATATTTCTCTGGGTATTTTTTACACTCTGCCATTTAGGGAATGGTTTGTTTGTTGGTAATGTTGCAGGAGGATAATTTCAGGCATTTAAACACAAATTAATAAACTCATTTGACCTAACGAATCAGCTATTCAGTAAACATTAATCAGACTGTTTTATGTATTATTTATTAATCGTGTTTTGACACTTGCTTACAATCAACAACAACGCCCAAACAAACGTTATCAGTCGTTCGATATCAGTTCTCCGGACCATATCACTTATCAAACATTACTACAATGTATTAACCATCGCACCAACGAATCTTGTCAGTAAGTTAAACAGGCGTGGTAAATAAATGAGTCACTTACAAATAACAACAACGCATCTTCTTGTCACTTCGTTATCGTCACTGTTTATTCCAGGAATAGGGAAGTTAACAAAATTACTTAATAAAGTGTCAATAATTGTATTGCATTTATTTGCACCATTCTTTATGCATACACTAGTTAACAATTTATAAAGTGGTTGTTGACCACAGTCAGACTATTCAGAGACTAATAAATTTTACGTGTTTGCAATAATAACAATATTCTGTTCTGTACAACAAAATGTTGCTAGATTACTAGATGATTTCGTATCTCCAACTAAACTGGTGATGTTGCAGTGCAAGAAGATGGGCTATGCTGGAAAGCAATTGTAAATATTCTTCTTATATCAGCACCACACCACCTCGTATCTCACTTTCCCCAACTCTGCGACTTATTTACTCTCTTGGAGAAAGTTAACGTGTCCTAACTAAAATTATGCTTTGCGACGCTGTTAAGACACAAAAATGTGCAATTTCTTGTCATCCTTTTAATGTCACCAATCCAAATAGCATTTTAGTTGTGTATGAAAATCACATTTTTGGACTCATTTATAGAAAAGCTTTACATCTTTACAACTGCATATAGTTGAGTTGAGGCATAAGTTAGGTTTCTGTCTTTCTCACCACCACCTAATTCTCATGTTAAGACCAAGTATCTCTGGTTTTTGTGTGAAAACTGGAGTATAATTTTGGATAAAAGCGCCCAACGCGCACATGGGTCCGTAGGATTTCGAGTGTCCAAAAACACAGCCACCACCATCAACGGTGGTGTAAAAAGCATTGCATTGTCCTGTATATAATCCTTTACCCAGTAGGATTTCTCTAATATACATCAAAGAGAGAACACACACAAGGTTGGTTGGTAGCTAAAAGGGATATTATGCCGTATATAAAATACATTGCATTTTAGAGTAACCAAAGATCAGCCGTCATCATCAACGGGTGAAATCACCATCTCTGGTTCCAACGAAAAATTTCACCTTTTCACCATTCCACACTTTATAATGTGGCTGCCAGAACTATTAGCTAACACTCGTTACCAACATTGCTAAGAGTTTGCTAAAAACACTCGCATTTACCATGAGTTTAACTCATTGGGGATTTGTTAATGGGGTGATTTTTTAAAAACAGTGAAAAATTTTTCTCCTGGACTTTTTACGTTTTCCAAAAGTGATCGAATCTCATTATCATCGCCACACTGAATATTTTTTATTCTTTTCCATTTTCCAACACTGTCCGTAACATTTGCCACTGGTTTTGGTGATTGTTTGATAGCATGCATGTCGTATGAGTCATTGTTAAACGGAAAATGGTCAGGTAGTTAAACATCCTGGGTGATCACAGTAGTAAGTAAAATGACTCTGTTTAATCCCAATAATCGTCATTACTGGTGGTGTTTACAATTGCAAAATTAATCAATTCATGGGTCAAGCAAACAAACTGTGTGCACATCAATAAGTTCTTCACGGCGTGCGTGCAAAATATACTGCAAATCAAAGTCGTGTATTTACTTGGTTGCTGCACGGAACACAAAGAAAGAAAACCAAAGTGGAGTGTCCTCCAAATTATGAATTAAGAAGAAGACCCCACAGAAGAAGCTGTTGAATAAAATACTACACATACGATAATTGTATCTACTAAAAATTAAATCATAAAATTTATTTGAACATTTTTCCGTTGCATTTCTGTGGGGAAATTTAATTCAAAATCAACTTTAATCAACACATTGTAGACTTCAATATATGCAAGAAGAAGACTGATTACAAATACATCATTTCTCAAAATCTCATCTCAAAAACGGAACGAAGCTTATACAGTTGAATTATTATAAAAAGAGAAATACTAAATACTTACACAGAGTAAAAATCGCCCAGTCACTTTTACTAAAAAAACAAATAGTCAAAAAGTCTAAAAACAAAATAAGCAGAATATTAAGAATATTAAAGTAATAATACAGTGATATTTTTGATGACAAGATAAAAAACACATTGATAATTACTAGATCATAATAATAATCTTAAGTTATCTGCTATTGTGTGGATCTGGTTTTGATTTGAAATACTCGTCGATTCCTCAATAAATCAACTATATTAACATTTAAGGAAAAATATACGAAAATATATATGAAAATAAGCAATGCAACTGTAATTACTGTGTGGAGAGGAACAAATTCAAGCTATGCAATCTGTAAAACCACAACGAACTGTCTTCATAATTTCTATCGTTTGATATAATCGTAAATTGTCGGAAATTCGTGTGATCTGCTTTCTCTTACATATATTCTTACGTAGCTCTCCACATAAAATGCTACCCAGCTTCCTTCCGGACGATTGCTCATCCAAAAAACACATTTAATTTTTACGTTCATCATCATCAATTGAGAACCATATAATAATATAAATACAGCGATTACCTAAAATTAGAACCGTTTTTACATAGGACAAAAATATATATATTTCGGATACTCGTGCATTTCTGCCTGGAAAATTAATATCCTGGCCTAATTTCATCGAATACGGAGTAGTAATAATAATACAAAATACGTAATACCTCGAGGAAATTTCTACTTAAAGTTGCTACGTGTAAACGTAAAAATGTCGGGTTCCATGAGTACGACAATGACCACTTCCGCTGGAGGAGGGGAGGGCGACGATATGGACAAAGTTCTTACCTCATATTTTGACAAAACAGTTAACTCCAACACAATTAAAGTAAGTTTTAGCGATTACTTTACATCAATTATTAATTGCTCAATTAATAAAAATATAAATAAAGCATACATACATACATACAGAAAAGCTTGCATGGGTCATATCAGGTAGAATGTTAAAATGCTACGAGGTGCAGATTTTGCCTATGATGGATGGAAGCTATTTTTAAATTTAATGTATGCACTTTGGTGGGAGTAAAGGACATGGTATTTAAAATGCATTTGAAGAACGCTTACTCCTGTGTTGTATAAATTGTGGTGTGAAGTGGGATATACGACGAGAACGATAGGATATACCCCGCCCCACAATTGACGTCTTTTCTCTGCTCCAATGAAATCCTGTCCTCCGTTCTCTCGCTTTCACTCGCTCACTTTCTCTCCGCTCTCTATTTCATCCCCCTCGTATCCACCCACGGGACCTCTGTCATAGGCGTAAAACACCACCAGCATAGGAAGAAGGAAGCATATCAATCTGAAAAGTTAGCAGCTAGAAACTCCACATATTTAACTTTAGGACATGGAAAAATGTGAATAATGTATGTACGTCTTTGTACTCTTTTGTACTGCATGAGCTGTTTAAATGGTCGCAGGTAATGTTATGATATTTCACTACTTCCTGTGAATTACATGCATGCAATGCATATTAAATATTTAATATGCAAGAAGAGGCAGAATTGGATGATTAAATGTTTTTTGCTCTGGATTAGGGATGATTAGGGATTAATTTGGGTATTAGTCACAATACAATGAATAAATGCATATTTTAACTAGTCCCACTAGTACCGAAAATTTAGAGTTTTGAAGTTACATACGAACGAGTCATGTAACTGGTTAAATTTAATTTATGTTAGAAGATGGAAATACTTAATTACTCAGTTTCACCGGTCATATTTCCGACAGTGAGAAGTGAACGGCTAATTGGTGAAAGTTGAACAGAAGGCGAGATTTATTTATTTATTTTTGTTTCTCTTAAAATAAAAATAGAAATATTGCAGGCCAAGAAATTGACTATTTAAACTAATGTTGTATGCATATTTAAATTGAATGAGATACAGAACGGGAAATGGTTGGGCAACCATTTTGTGCCAAAAAGTAATCTCTAATCATGGTTAGTTTTAGATTAAGGATTACTTTCAAAATTTTCGTTTTGGATCAAGATTAGTCAGATCAGGGTTGAATCATGGATTAAGGATTAGCCTAATCCGGATTTTTCACAACTCTGCAGGAGAAGGGATGTATTCCCGAACTGCACACATTTTCCATATAAATTTGCATATAAATTTCAACGACGAAGTAAAGGTATCTTAGGTCAGTATTTGTTTTTTTACAATAAGATTAATTTGTATGCCAATTCTGCATAAATTCTGATTATAAACATCCTCATGTATGTAAATTCTTTTAGTACTGCGTGCATATCGCGATTTTTTGTGGAGTAATAACTAGGCAATTAAGCGACAACAATGGTTGAAAATCATGCCATAATGGGAATAATGGGATCGTAAAATGAGTGACTGCATGATTGTACCTATGATTATATGTGTATGGTTAAGCAATTTTCGATACAAAACTTATTATGCTTATTCATTCGCAGGAGAAGCCAACGCCATCGTCGGAACTGAGCAAAGGGGACTTGCTAAAGATTTTATCCTATTTGGAAGGCGAAGTTCAAGCGCGTGACGTGGTAATTGCAACGTTGAAGTGCGAGCGAGTAAAACGATTGTTGTCTGACAATAAGTACATCCTGACCTCTGACCCTTCCCCGTTCGCTGCTCTGAAAAGAGATTCCTTTGCTACATATGTCAACCCTGCAGACTCGAAGGTGATTAGATAAACAAGCAAGATGTCATTTCTTTATTTATACAAGAGATGCACAATAGGTTCTAATATTTCCAAATTTGCAGGAGGATATCGAATTGGTCCGACTATGGGAAAATCAGAAAGTTTCTCTACAAAGTATTCTCCGCAAACAACGAGCTGCCATGAAACATATACACAAGATATTAGAAGATTCTGAAACTATGCACCGTAAAATGGCGGAGGAACTAGAAGAAGAAAAAGAAAAAAACGCTTCCATGAAAGGTATCAGACCTACGATTTACGTATTTCTCCAATGGAGAATTTCCATTACTAAATAATTTTGCATTATGGTTGTATTTAGTATTCCAACTAATTTTTATTCTGTTTTTTTAAGATGGTGCAAAGTTAAAAGAAGAATTAGAAATTGAAAGACAATTGAGGGCAAGACTGGAAAAAGAACTGAAGGAGACTCAAGACGCACACGATGAAGAGAAGAACAAACACAAAAGCATCGTCCTCCTCCTTTTAACTGAGAGGAAGAGAATTCTCAAACAACTCGTGGAAGAGAGGAAACGATCTGCTGACCTCTTGGTGATGATTGAGGAGGAGAAACGACAAGCGTTATCCATGGCAGAAGGGTTAGAAGAAGAGTCTCAAAAGGTAGGATATGATCATGATGTCAAATATTGTGTAACAATTATGTAAATTGTTTTGTTGTATATTGCTCTGAGATTTTCATGATTAGACTTTATTGTATAATGATAATGCGTAGGTTTGATTTCTGGTGCAAACATTTGCGTTTATCGCGGGGCGACCCCATTTTTAGGGTCCGGTTACGGGAATTTTCTGTGAAAAAATAGCAATCGAACCCACGTAATAATGTATTTTTGGTAGTAAATAATTATAATATAATGATTTTTCCATAGGCATTGAGAATGGAGGCCGAAATAGAAAGACAAGCCGCAGGGTTCAGAGTAGACCGTGATCGTTTGACAGCTCGTATCCGTATTGAAGAAGAGCGACGAATCGAAACCGAAAATCAATTAAAGGCTCTTCGCATTGAGGTATAGCGTGCGATATGCAGTTGTTGACATTCTGTTTTATGCGTAGTACTACAGATCTATGAGTGATATTACGTGATGATGGATGATTGACACACAATTTGTATGGTTTCTAGGTGGAGTCGCTAAGAAAACAATTGGCAGAAGCGCATTCTGTGGCAATGTTCCAAGCAAATATTGTCAATAACTCGAGTGGTAGTTCATCCAGCAAAAAGACGTCAACAACGGTGGTTAGACCGACAGCAACCGTTTCATCAGTTCCTGTTGCTCAGCCAAGTATGAAATTATATAAAAAAAGTTTGACTAAACAAGAAAAATATGTGCAATGTAAAAATGCTGATCATCAAACATTTTCAATGTGCAGCGACGGGAATAGCGAAACCTGTCACAGCCACCGTGGTATCTCCTCTGAACAACGCTGTGTCATCACCAGTCTCAAATTCTGTGCTACAGGTATTGGCTTTCGGAATATTGTCCTGGTTCTAATGATAGTGATAATTCTTACTCAATATTACTTTTCCCCTGTTCTTATTATTTCAAACAATTTTAGTCGTGTGTAAATTTCCTGTTTGTCTAACCGGAGTTGCAATTTATTCATTATTATTTTATTAAGTATTACCTTCAATTCGCAACAGAATGGCTGTGTTACATGTCTAAGTTGAATTCCTTCCTTTATTTTTTTACTTGGTTTTCTTATTTATTTCCACCAAGAGAAATAAATTTGAGATAAAACCTTTTTGCAAAGCTGCCTTTGTTTGTCTGCTTTCTTTTTGGAAAGCGAATCAAATGATAATGTGCTTATATGTAGTATTGTCTCTCTATATAAATCCCAATGTTCTCCTTTTCAACTCTTATTTTATTTATTATCAGGCTATGTCAATATGTTCTTTATAACAATACTTATTAATCTTTTCTTTCTGGTTCCCTCTGCACTTGTTTTGTACACTTTCTCCCATTCTGTTTGTCGACTTGTGTATGTAACTGTTTCTCTTCCTGTCCCACTCTTGTTAAAAATGCTACATGGGTCAATGTTAACACGGGATGCTATTTTGTGATATTGTAGACAAAGCCTCCTAGCAGCAGCAGCGAGAAGAGTGGGGGTGGATCGCTTCTAGCAAAAAAATATAGTGTAGGTCCCAAGCCTGTACCGCCCCCGGTGCCACCCAACAAACCCTCTGTTCCTCCCAAAAGTGGGTCCCTCACGGCCAAAATCCACGCTGCCAAACTAGAGCAACAGATTACCTGAGACGAGGGTTTGATTTAAGTTGTTTACACCACCACCATCGAGTTAAGCTGCTTTCCCCGATTTCCAACAACGCCCACGCCCTTGTAACAGCAGCAAATCATAAAAATAATCAGTTATCACCAACTTTGGGGACACAAAACAAAGAAAACAAAGATACAAATGTACCAAGAAAGAAGAAAACGAAGAACGCAAACGTAAAGAAAAAGAACGAATAATGTTTTTAACTATTTGCGAAGAACGAGTGTGTCGTCATCACTCGTTCTCTGAATTTTATAATAGTCATCAATCAACTTGTAGTCGAGTCATTTGATTAGTTGTACTATTTTATTAATGCTAGTGACCACTGGCTGGGCATAATTTTGATGTTATTATTAATTAATTATTAAGTAGTTATTTACTTATATGTTGCAGCAGCATTCCTATTTTTAGTGTATTCAAGTGATGATGTGTCAAAAAGAAGGCACGAGTTCTATGCAAACGAATTTCGAACCATCCCCATAATGTATGTAATCCGTCTCTGACTAGATTGTAGGTTTAGCGTTACATTATCCACACGGCGTCAGAATAATATTATTCGCAATAAATCCAATGCAATTGATTGTCTTATTAGTTATTAGTTGGAACTGCCATAGCGCGTGGTGTACTACTGATAATGTTATGTGAACGCTAGTAAGACCGATTTTATATAGTTATCTTTAATTCTTCTTCCGCTGGTGAGATGTGGTCTCTCGTAGATCTCAATTTGTACGCTTTGTCATCGTTATTATTTATTAGTCGTAGTTAGTTAGGCTTGGACAACCGCGTCTTGTCAACATCTCATCATTATTTAACAGTATCTTTTCTTTTGACATAAAATGCTTGTGCAAAACGTGGGAAAAGGGGTTGCTAAAAGCAGTTATAACACGTAAAATGCATTTATGTTGCCATTGCGCATTAGGTTTTTTTTAGCCAATTTTTACTCTAATTTCCGAATTTAATAATTGTAAAATTCCGAGAAAACTTACGATTCGTATGAAAAGATTATTTTAGCAACTGTTGTGATTTTTAACGATATAATTTTAAGTTCTTATAATTAATTAGTTACTTTCACCACCAATTAAAAAATTGGCTTCTTTGGAGTTGTGAATCTGTTACAATTTTACTTTTACTCTACATCAAGCACTTAATTGTTCCTAGTTTGCACGTAATTATTTTAAAGGAGGAAGACCAGGGGAGGAAATATCGTTCCGGATTGCAAGGTCTGAAGGATGGGAAGACAGAAAACGATGACAATGCAATGACCAAGATGCAAAGTACTTGCGTGTACTAGACTTGTCAAAAACATTAAAAAGTAAATAATAGTTGAGCGAAAACTATAGAACCGACCGGTGTATTCTAAATAATACTTTGAACAGTGTACCTTCTGCAATACTTGATAAATACGTAGGATAGGGCCATAAAAATAAATACATAGGTAATGATAAGTACATAATTGTTAGTTATATAGCGGATATAGATTTAGCTCTCCTGTTGTGCTGTCACTGCATGATAGTTGGACGATGGCTAGATAATAGGAAACCACAACCAGCAAGATGATCATCATGACCATCAACGTATGTATTGTATTAATAATTAAGAAACGTATGGACTGTTCGAAACCAAGAGATAATGAAGGAAAGCGTTCAAAAGTGAAGAGAAAACGAAGATCAAACAATACAATATTAGTTTCTACCCTCCGTCGTCGTCCTCGTCCTCGTCATCGTCGTATGTGTTCTATCCCGAACTGGAAATATTTTGATGCAAGCGAGAAATTTAGATACATGAGATTGATTGAGACTTTTTTGAAATAAAATAAAGAGACTCAGTCTGGAAAATCACTCTGGAAATATACCAATACTAAAAAGGCAACAATAAAACCGAAATTGATTCCTCCAACCTGTGAATGAACTATGCAAGCAATGATGCCGTCTAGTGTGCTTTCAATTCATTTCATTTCATCATGCATACCAAGTTAAAACAATTAACAGCTAGAGAAAGATACATGTGGATAATTATTTTATTTGCAGACAAAATATTTCATTGTAAGATTTAGCCACTGACATAACGACAATGATAGATATATAAAACAAATACAGATAGACTCATATGTAAGAATCACGTATTTTAAAAAAAAATCTTAAAGTTTTGCTTTATCAAAGGAAACATGTTTATAGAAAGGCTGTAAATATAATTTTAAACAGCAGGACGTGAGTGTGACAGGGATGGTGGTTGATTCCCTGATTCATTGGCCGTAGTGGAATGAGCTGCTTGTAGTGCTGCGCCTGGACCTGGTAGTATGAGTTAATTTACTGAGTTTGATTGTATTCTTCTTGCGTCCAGTAATGCGTGTTCGGCAAGACACTACTGCAGTATGAAGGAAAATTTTACAAATTTTTTTTACCGGCGCCTGCAGCCGCTGCTGCTGCCGCATAGTAACTCCCATTTAATCCATCAGGGAACCCTGACCCGCCAGTGCCGGTCGAACCCCCCATAAAATACTCTTTGTTGACACAGTTTCTCAGAGAATCTGGGATCCTTCCCACGATGGCGCGCCGAATTTCTGAAGCCGCCATTTCCCTAAAATTACATCAAATAAATTGGTCAACTTTCTTTCTTATACTGTCATCATGATACAAGAACGCTTTTAAAAATAATGTTGGATTGGAAGACTTGCATACCTTAATTCAGTGCAAGAAGCATCCGAGAAGAATGCAGCATGAGGAGTGCAGATTAGATTAGGTGCATCTTTCAGTGGTCCTTGGAACACGTTAAATGGTTCATTTTCATGAACGTCCAATGCTGCAGATCTTATTCTACCCTCCCGGAGTGCCGAAGCTAATGCTGATTCGTCCACCAGTCCTCCTCTGGCCGTGTTCACCAAAAATGCTCCTAGAAAAAAAAATGTTTTACTCATTTAGAACATTTAAATAAAGAATAATTATCACTCAGACGAATCATGTACAATTCCTCAAAAATTCTCAACAAATCTCAGTCAGTCAGTATTATCACATCTCTCAAAGACCATGAACATTTTGAGACGTGCAGCAATATATTTATTTATAAAATTAAGGACTTACCTGGTCGCATTTGTTTGAGTGTGTACTCGTTAATGAGATGATGATTATGTTCATTAAGAGTGCAATGAAGTGACACACAGTCGGACTGAAACAAGAGATCTTGCAGCGTGTACACCCTCGTGACTCCCAAGCTTTTTTCAATACCATCCGGTAGATATGGGTCGTAAAAGATGACATTGAAGCCAAAGGCTTTAGCCCTCAATGCAACCGCAGAGCCAATACGGCCCAAACCAACAATGCCCAACGTGTCGCCACGTATCCGGGCACACCCCTGGGCAGCCTCCCGTACCTGAATCCATAAATCAAGCCAGCTTAGGTAATGCATCTGCCCATCACGTATGTAATTCCATAGTTGGTAATTTAATAAATCTGTGCATGTAGTACCTGTTCAGGACCAGTAAACTTTTTTCCATCCCTCACCATGTTAGCCAGCCAGTAAGTTCGTCGGTAGAGATTCAGAATTAGACAAAGCGTGGTGTCCGCCACTTCCTCAACTCCATAGCCGGGTACATTGCACACTGCAATTCCCAACTCTCCAGCCGCCTACGGAAAAGGAAACCACACGGAAAAGAAAATGAATGGATTGAACGAACGGAACAACGATATCATATAATACATATCCTCGTCGTCTCGCCTCCTCGCGTCACACATTTCCTCCACTACACACACACCAAACTCAAACTCTTTCGTCGCACACAGAAAGAGAAAGAGAAGAAGAAGACACACTCACACACACACCACCAGAAACTAGTTTTTTTTCTCTATAATATTTCTTCCACCACCTCCTCCTCCTCCTCCTCATTTTATAAACCTTTACTCACCTTGACATCAATGTTGTCAACTCCTGATCCAATTCTGACAATGATCCTGAGCGCTTTGAACTTCTCGAGATCTTCCTTCGTGAGGGTAATGGTGTGCCACATGAGGGCTCCCACCGCCTCGTTCAACACCTTCTCATGAATCTCAGCCGTCGACTGTGCATCGCAAAACGCCACGGTAGCAACATCTTTCAAAATCGGCATTTCAATCGAACAATCCCTTCCATCCAGCAGAGCGACGAGCGGCCGGGTGTGCATCGGCCCGTTGTTCAGTGGCCCGCGCCCCTCACTACGCGGCCGTTTGTTAGACGATGATGGCAACATTTTCCTCCCCGTCGTCACAAAAACACATCCAACACGAACAGGTCACCACTGGTTCGAAGAAGTTCACAAGACACTGAAATATTCTAGTAGTTGGAGCAAATAATATAATTCACCGTCGTCCTCGTCGTGGTGGTGGTGGTGGTAGCTTGGCAGGCAGGCAGGCAGACAGAGAGAGAGACAGAGAGAGAGAGGAAAGAAGACTGCGACCGTTCAGCCTCAACGTCGGAGGGGAACTGAGCAGCGAGCGAAGAGGCTGGAAGAATGTGAAGCCATTGGGTTTGGGTAAATGGCGGCGGTTGGAAGTGTGCTCTCCTCTCGAGAAGGAGAGCACACGACCACCCGCAAAAAGTTTGCCTCGCTGCCACAAAAGTTTTGTTGGACGTGGAGGATAGTTTCGGGTTGGCGGGTATCCCTCCCGTGTTACCCGCCTGCTATCCGTCCCACACACGGCCAACCCGCCCGCCTGCCACCAATGCTCCAATTCCTCCGAAAAGTTGGGCCGGAGCTGGAGCGTGTGGAAAAGTTTTGTTGTCACTTTCCAACTTCCTTTCCCACCACCACTACCCGATTCCTGACCTTCCCTCTTCGTCTCCCTTCCTCCAAACTAAAACTTTCACCAACAACCAACTGCCGGTGTGGCAGGATGGTGATGAGATCATGCTGGCCAAGATGAGCAGGAGGATGATGACTTATCTCCTGCCGGGTGGAAGAGAGCGGGAGAGAAGATGCGGATGTGGGTGATCATGAATAAAAGTTCGGTCAGCTTTTTAGAGCCGCATTATTGTTTCCTCATTTCCGGGAAGAGGACATGAGGACGAAAGGTTGTGTTTTTACGACCAGATATGTTTGATTGAGGGTGAGTCGTTGTTGCTTTTTTGTTGGATTTGGTACTTGGTTTTGACCATTGTGGTTCCACTATATTGGTCATGTTCGTATTAATTTGTGATAAATCCTTCCTGGCGTAAAGTGTCAAAGTATGTATTAGTAGGGTTGTATATGGATGGGTATAATATAACTACTTTACTTTGTTCATCCAATTCGGAGATAACTTTCTTCTTAGTTTCTTGGGGAAAGTTGCTCCGTTTACGGTGCTACCACCACGACTATCATCCAACTCCAAAAACTGTTTAAGACCAATAAGTCAATTCTCACACGGTAAAAATTCCAAATTCTTTGTATCTATCGATATGCTGTGGGTGAATATACGAGCAATTTGCTGGAGGTGAAATACTAGTGTGTAACTTGGGAAAATGAGATTTCTTTGAATGTTTGTATATTTATTAGTCAATGCTTGTCCTTTCTGTTCTGATTATATGCGCGTGTAGTAGGTGTGTAGTTACTTACTGCCTGAATTACCGTACCGACCATTACGAAATGAATCTTAGCTGAAACATTACAGAAAAAAAACTTTGGGGGAATTTGGTGCCTTGACTTTTTTGTTTCGGCTTTTGATCATGTGACACTGGGAGTAATAAGGAGAGAGGAATACTGGGTGGCGTGGCGTGGTTGGTTTGTGGGGTTTATACTTTTGTCAGTGTTTTCACCCATACATAGCAAAGTCGAGAAGAAGTGGAGAAAGGAAAACTTTATCATTTTAATCCTGGTCAACTTTTGTCATTTATTACTCCTTGTTCCAAACTAAACTCTTATAATAAGCGAGAGAGGACAGAGAAAGAGAGAGAGACACCAGGGATGATAGGATGAGACCGTTCGTTTAGTTGATAGTGGTTGGTGGCGTGCATTGTAAAGTTTGTGAAGCAAATCACCACTAACTAACGAATACCAAAGTAAAGTTGTCCTGAAATAAATCCAATAGCAGGAGGACCCCTAAAATTACAGTAGAGTTGTTGTGAGAATGAGAAGGCACCACCAGAAGAAGCAATGAAATGTAAAGCATCCCCATTATTCATTCATTCATTTATTTATTTAGTTTGCTTAACTATGTTCATTTCAACCCCACTAATAACGCTCAAAGTTTACCCATCTCATCTCATTTAGTATTTAGTCAACTTCTATCTTCCTCTCCGCCTATAAACATCAACTATCAAATCCCACTCAGTTTCAGCGAGTCGAGAGAAAGGCTTACAAGTTCGAACGAATGAGAGTTTATATTAATAAATATTATGTGTGTGTCGTCCTCCTCGTGTGTGTTCAGGCTAAAATGAGTCGTGTTTGCTGCTGGGGACCTCGTCGTCGTCGTCGTCGCTTCTTCCTCCTCTCTCCATTTATGTACAAAGTTAGGCAATAATATTTGCATTTGTTCCCGGCTTCCAGTTCCACTTGATATGTCTCTTCTTGTTGTTGTTTGAACTTGTTCGCCTCCTAATTCCTACCAAAAGTTGGATGAAATTCACTTACTTGCTGCACACAGACGTGGAGGATCAGAAATGATATTACTAAAGCAGCATGTACTTACATATGTATGTATGATTTTACTCGGAAGCTAGTAGAACCCCCAGCATCATAACTTCCAGTTCCAGTATAATACATATTTCTACAGTGTGCATGCATGAGAAGATATCTGATGCGACACCAGAGTAAATGGTAATTTTGGTTGGATAGTCCGCGTGTACCCCGTAACGCATTCAGTTAGCTGCATTGTCCAATATATAAGTTTTCTCATTTGCATTTGGTGTTGATTTAACGTTTTAGTTAGATAAGTCTAATATGAAAATGGTTACTCGACAACATTTCACCAACAAACAATTAAGAGTTTAGATTTTACATTAGACTTTACGTATTTATTTATCTGCAGCACAACCTGGACATGGATGTTTGTATGAACATGGATATGTGTAGATCGGAGGTTGCAAGATTGCAGAGGTTTGCGAGTAGTGACACAAGATTTGTGATGATCCCGACTGTGCAGTTTATTAGTTCCTCGTAGAGACCAACCGAGTATACTTTACTGCTAATTGTAGTTTCACACGCAAATAAGTAAATGTTAACTCTATCCATTTTGTTTATTATCTTGCTTTTCTCCTCCACTCGGTCCACTTTAGAGTGTTGCACATTTTGCAAATATTTTGCAACATCACCATATTGGACTAAACTGCTCACTGGAATAATGGTATTTGTGCAACCACTGCACATTTGATAATTGAGCAGTCAAGATAACTTTGTACAGCAGGGTTATTAGCCGACGTATTATGTACGATGTGCAGTTTCTCATTCATCAAGCAATATCTTTCGCGTAGTCTGCTTTTCATATGAAAAATTTTGCCTGGGAAGTGTCTGACGAGGTCGATATTAAAGTTCATTGTGATTATTTGATTTTTGCTACGTTTACACAAAATAGATACTCAATGTTTATTGTGTTATGTGCTTTATGAGGGAGAAATTCGTATTTATAATTAACCTAGAAATACCTAAGCATTTATTGTTTCATATAAGTAATTCGAATTTGTCAATTTCTAAATAACGGTTTACCTCCTTAATTCTCTGCATGGAACCACTTTATAAGTGCTACCCTGCATTTCTATTTACTAATCTTTGTACATTGCAAATTAAATTAAATTAAACTTGTTCACGACAATACACTCCTTGATATTGTTCTCACAAAGCAAAATAAATACTTGTGTGTTAGGTTAAGTTGACAACTTTGCAGCTCTTTAAATGAAATAATTTGCAACTGAGGGGTCGCTACATATATTCATCCGCACCACTTGCCTTGGCTGGAGTTCGTAATGAAACAAATGGAATAAGGTTAACCCGTCATCACTTGTGGTCTGTGTGTAAATAAATAAATGGAAAGATTTATTGGTCCACGATGACGAACACCAAATAAATAATCCGCAAACATCATCTTCTTCTTCATCTTCATTACCAACAGCTTAAAAGTTTGTCAGACAGACCAGAGAGAGAGAGAAGAAAAAGACTTGTATTTTATCTTCTTCTCCTTGATGCGCATTGTGCAAGTGGAGTTAGCAAAAGTGAGGTACAGTTATCATGCGAACTGCACTCTGCACTTTTGCAAGCACACAAAACTCGCGAGTCACTTTCTGTTAAAGAACAGTTAAATTTATTGACAACTGTGCCACCACTTCTTCTTAATCCTCCTTCGCTCTTCCCTCACGTCTTAAAAATAACAAAAAGAAGAAGAAGAACCACAGAGGAACAAGTGGCAAGGTGGATGACGATGATTCAATAAGGAGCGACAAATTATGTCTACTACTGACATTGCAGTAAAGCAAATTTGATGTAAAAAATACGCTCATCATTAAAAGAGTAAAAGTTTTTAGCTATATGTATATAATTATTTGGAAATGCCTTTTTATCAAAATTGGTCAGCAATTCAGAAGCTACTTATTTATTAGTTGACAAAAAAATCGTTATGAAACCTTGTTTTTGCAGAATCATTCATTATTGCGAGTTTTACACGATGTAGTATTTCTAAAATGTTGGCGGACTATATATTTAAGTAGCACGGAAATAAACGCAGCGTGACATTGAAATATATTGTTGGCAGAGTTAAATCTTATTATTTCGCATACACCTAGATAGTTGTTGAATAGGAAGGAGAGAACAAGAACAGGGAATAAGAAATTATGGCGACAAGTTTGGTTGACCAAAACATCAAGCTCAACCACACGTAATTTAAGTGGTGTAGGATTTCATTGTGCTTTATGAGACTGAATTCGAAAAGTCAGAGTGCACCGTATTAAACAACTGAAACCTGAACTAAAAGAGTGTCCACTAAAAACAGCACTTTATGACTACCTGTTGTTGCTGCTGTGCCTAATCCTAAACAATAGAAACCCACCTGCCCCACCGGCAAGTGACATGACTTGGGTAAACCCGATGCATGAACGCTGATTTAGAGAGGGAGAGGTACTAAAAGGGAGATACAGTCTCTGTCTGTATTGGGAAAGAGGCTTATTGAAGCCCTCAACCTTGATGGACATGAGAGGTCAACGCAATTATATACGGCTCGAGGTTAAAACTACGACAAGTCAATGTCTTGCAAAAATAGAAAGCATTTCGAGACTCAGAATGCGTCATAAACTAACCAACCAACCAACAAACATCTGTGACAAGTTGGAACTATGTTGATAATGTTTCAATTTCTCCACCCACGACAAAAATAAAACAATCGGATAGAGTTTCATGGCTAGTGCAAGGAAAGACGAAACGTTGCACAACTTGAGTCATCTCTACAAAGACAAAGACGTAGACCTTTATGGCTATGTACGTACATGTGTACTTATGAATAACACTACATCGTAAGAAGATCCAGTTGTTGC